TCTCGCTCGACGCCGACATGCCCAGCCTTGCCGACCGTTCTGCCCAGATGCAGGCCATCCTCCGCGGCTCCGTCACCTCGTCCAAGTACGGAGGTGACGACGAGTACCACGCGCCCTCGCTCGAGGTGCTGCGCGAGCTCAGCGACTCGCAGTACAGTGTATACGACGTGCTCCACAGCTTCTTCGGCCACCGCGAGCACCACGTCGCATTCGCTGCGCTGTGCACCTACGTCGTGCGCGCCTACCGCGCCTACGAGATCGTCAACTTTGACTACGCCGTCGAAGACTTTGACGTCGAGGAGCGCGCCGTGCTCACCTGGCAGTTCCAGCTTCCTCGCAGCGCATCTTCGCTCAAGGAGCGCGAGCGCCAGGTGTCCATCAGCGATCTCAACATGATGGACAGCAAGAAGATCCGCGCGGCTCCCGAGCTCCGCACGGGTGCCATGACCAGCTGCCCCGACGTGGCTGATATCCCCGACCTGCTGCCCAAGGTGCTCAAGTTCTTCAAGACCTCGGCCGGCGGTGCGCCCATCAACGTGCTCAACGTTGCCGTCGTCGACCAGGGCGACTTTGTCGACGCCGAGGTGCGAAGCAAGCTCGCCGAGTACACCAACGCCTGCAGCAAGGCCTTTGCCTCGGCTCGCATCCGCCGTGTCACCTATCTGCTCTGCCAGCCGGGCATGTACCCCTTCTTTGCCACCTTCCGCCCGAGCGAGCAGGGTATCTGGGCCGAGGAGAAGGCGATCCGCAACATCGAACCCGCGCTGGCCTACCAGCTGGAGCTCGACAGGGTCAGCAAGAACTTCGAGCTCACCCCGGTGCCTGTGTCGTCGTCGACCATCCACCTCTACTTTGCCCGCGGTATCCAGAACTCGGCCGACACTCGATTCTTCGTGCGCTCGCTCGTCCGTCCGGGCCGCGTGCAGGGCGACATGGCCGCCTACCTCATCTCGGAGTCGGACCGCATCGTCAACGACATCCTCAACGTCATTGAGGTGGCTCTGGGTCAGCCGGAGTACCGCACTGCCGATGCGTCGCACATCTTCATGTCGTTCATCTACCAGCTCGACGTGAGCCTCGAGGATGTGCAGAAGGCGATCGCCGGATTCCTCGAGCGTCACGGCACGCGCTTCTTCCGCCTGCGCATCACCGGTGCCGAGATCCGCATGATCCTCAGCAGCCCCAACGGCGAGCCTCGCCCCATCCGCGCCTTTGTCACCAACGAGACCGGTCTTGTCGTGCGCTACGAGACGTACGAGGAGGAGGTCGCCGCCGACGGATCGGTCGTGCTGCGTGGCATCGAGCCGCTGGGCAAGGAGGCGACGCTCAACGGCCAGAGCGCCCACTTCTCCTACACGACCAAGGTCGCCCTGCAGTCGCGCCGATCGCGCGCTCACGCTCTGCAGACGACGTTCGTGTACGACTTTATCGACGTGCTCGGACAGGCTGTGCGTGCCTCGTGGAGGAAGGTCGCTGCCAGCAAGATCCCCAGCGAGGTGATCAAGTCGAGCGTCGAGCTTGTCTTTGACGAGCAGGAGAACCTGCGCGAGGTCAAGCGTGCTCCCGGCATGAATAACATCGGCATGGTCGCCTGGCTCGTCGAGGTGGTCACGCCCGAGTACCCGACTGGACGCAAGCTCGTGGTGATTGGAAACGATGTCACCATCCAGGCCGGTTCGTTCGGCCCCGTCGAGGACCGCTTCTTCGCGGCGGCCTCGAAGCTGGCGCGCGAGCTTGGCGTACCTCGCCTCTACATCTCGGCCAACTCGGGTGCGCGTATCGGCCTGGCCACCGAGGCTCTGGACCTGTTCAAGGTCAAGTTCATCGGCGACGACCCGGCCAAGGGCTTCGAGCACATCTACTTGGACGACGAGTCGCTGCATGCCGTCCAGGCCAAGGCTCCCGGCAGCGTTGTGACCAAGCCTACGCAGGCCGCCGACGGCAGCGTGCACAATGTGATCAGCGACATCATCGGCAAGCCTCAGGACGGCCTGGGTGTCGAGTGTCTCTCGGGCAGTGGTCTCATTGCCGGTGAGACGAGCCGCGCCAGGGATCAGATCTTCACGGCGACGATCGTCACGGGCCGCAGTGTGGGTATCGGTGCCTACCTCGCGCGCCTGGGCGAGCGTGTGATCCAGGTGGAGGGCTCGCCGCTCATCCTGACGGGTTACCAGGCGCTCAACAAGCTGCTCGGACGTGAGGTTTACACGTCGAACCTGCAGCTCGGTGGCCCGCAGATCATGTACAAGAACGGTGTATCGCACCTGACGGCGCAGGACGACCTGGACGCCGTCAAGGCATTTGTCAACTGGATGTCGTACGTGCCTGCGCAGCGCGGCGGCCCGCTGCCCATCATGCCCACTGCCGACACGTGGGACCGTGCCGTGACCTACCAGCCTCCTCGTGGTCCGTACGACCCGCGCTGGCTGATCAACGGCAAGCGCGAGGACGACGGCACCAAGCTCACCGGTCTCTTTGACGAGGGCTCGTTTGTCGAGACGCTCGGCGGCTGGGCCACTTCGGTGGTGACGGGTCGTGCGCGTCTGGGCGGCATCCCCGTCGGTGTGATCGCGGTGGAGACGCGCACGCTGGAGCGTGTGGTGCCTGCCGACCCCGCGAACCCGAACTCGACGGAGCAGCGCATCATGGAGGCGGGCCAGGTGTGGTACCCGAACTCGGCGTACAAGACGGCGCAGGCCATCTGGGACTTTGACAAGGAGGGCCTGCCGCTCGTCATCCTGGCCAACTGGCGAGGCTTCTCGGGCGGACAGCAAGACATGTACGACGAGATCCTCAAGCAGGGCTCCAAGATTGTCGACGGACTGTCTTCGTACAAGCAGCCCGTGTTTGTGCACATTCCGCCCATGGGCGAGCTGCGTGGTGGCTCGTGGGTGGTGGTGGACTCGGCGATCAACGACAACGGGCTGATCGAGATGTCGGCCGACGTGAACAGCGCGCGCGGCGGTGTGCTCGAGGCGGCGGGTCTTGTCGAGATCAAGTACCGTGCGGACAAGCAGCGCGCGACCATGGAGCGTCTCGACAGCGTGTACGCCAAGCTCAGCAAGGAGGCCGCCGAGGCGACGGACTTCACGGCGCAGACGACGGCACGCAAGGCGCTCGCCGAGCGCGAGAAGCAGCTGGCGCCCATCTTCACGGCGATCGCGACCGAGTATGCGGATGCGCACGACCGTGCCGGCCGCATGCTTGCCACGGGCGTGCTGAGGTCGGCGCTGCCGTGGGAGAGCGCGCGACGATACTTCTATTGGCGTCTGAGGAGGAGGATCACCGAGGTGGCAGCCGAGCGCACCATCGCCGAGGCGAACCCGCTGCTCAAGCACGTCGAGCGCGTGGCGGTGCTGCGCCAGTTTGTGGGTGCGGCGGCTTCGGACAACGACAAGGAGGTGGCGGAGCATATGGAGGCGGCGGCCGGCCAGCTTCTCACGGCGACCAAGCAGCTCAAGGCGCAGTACATCCTGGCGCAGATCTCGACGCTCGACCCCGAGCTCAAGGCGCAGCTCGCCGCGTCGCTGCAGTAAGCGCTGCCGTTGTCGGCGGTGTGCCGGGCTTCCACCTTTTGGCTCGTGACCGCAGCAGCGCGGAGCGTGGATTGAGGGATCCGCGTTCCGTCTGCTGGTTGCGCGCTCGGAGGCAGGCCCGGCTTGGGCTCAGTTGGCGCGCGGCAAGGATGCGACTTGACGACTGAGGGGTTGTCACCGCATCCGTGCTGCTTGTTCTTTCTCTTCTCTCCTCCTTTTTCTTCCCGGGGTTCCCCAATGTGCTCTATTTCACCGTATAGACTCTGACTGCAATTTTTGATCCGGCTTCATTACGTTCGACGATGTGAAAGGGACTTGGGTGCCCTAGAGTGATGCGCTCCTGCCGCTTGCTGGGAGGCTCCACTTTGTGCGCGCTCCATTTTGTACTCGAAAAGAAGACGTGCGAGATGAAGGCAAAGGTGAGGAGCCGCTTTCGATGTGTGTGCGAACAGAAGATGATGTGCGGGTGGGGTGGAGACAGGGCGGAAGTTGTGGGAACCAACGCGGATGTGGAGGAAGGAAGCGGAAGCAGGTCGCAGAGCTTAATTTTGCGCACACGCGCACGATGCGTCCGTGTCCAACCTTGTCGTGCGACCTTCATGGACGGTGCGGAAGGGTGCGGATGTCTGCGGCTGCGGACGTCGTCCTTAACTTTTGTCTCGACTTGACACTGTACTTCGCACACTCTCTGGAAGGGTAGGGCTCGCCGGAAGGTGCGCAAGTCATAAAAGGGCGGTTGTTTCGAAGCTGGTGCGTTGATCTCCGCACCTTTGCTCGTGGACTCAGGTAGGACAAGATGGAGGGCCACGCAGCTACGAGCGCCCGGCTGCAGGCGATGGGCAGCCTGGCCATCCGCGACTACCTTAAAACTGCGCTGCCTCAAGAAGACATCCTCGACATCGTCCCCGCCCCTCCCACCCCCTCGGCTAAGCCTGCACCGCAACCGCAGCAAGTTGCCCAGCCGGAGGAGAAGGCCGAGGTGCCATTCTACATCAAGCGTCGGGGCAAAGGTAAAGGCCGTCCGGTCATGTACAACTTGTCCCACTCCAGCGTCGCTCAGCTCTACGGTGAGTTGCCTAAACCTTCGATGCAAAGCAAAACGTGATTTGAAGGCTGACATCTGCGAGACGGTGGGATAGAATACGCGGCGCAGATGGATGTTCCCGAACCAGTGTTTAACCACACCCGTACCGGCGCTTCGTAAGTCCAAACTCGAGCCCTAAAGCCCTTTGGAGGAAAGGTCAGCGCTGACAAGGAGAGATGGAGTAAAGACACCTGCCGAGTTTCACAGTGACGGTCGAGTTCGACGGCCTGCACGCAACGAGCTCGGGCGACGCAGGAAGCATCAAGGAGGCCAAGGAAGATGCGTGCTTCGTTCTCGTTCACCAGATCCTCGCGCGCAACGCCCGACGCATCACACACTGAACATGCCACCACCCAATGTCAAGATCGCTTTTGAAGCAGCTAGGATTTGCGCTGGGAGAGACTGACGCAGTGCAGACAGAACGTCTTGGTGCAGCGTGTGGGGCCGCCACAGAGCGATTCGTCTTCCGATGCCGACGGCGAAGGCGTGCGTTCCCGACGAGACATTTGAGAGCGGCGCGACGAGTGTGAGGTGCCACTAGCCGAAGATCTGACTCGTGTCGACGGTGAACGTCGCACAGGCGTAAATGGAGCGGACACGGCCGGAGGCGATTCCGCAATTCGAGCATGCGATGCAGCACCAGGCTGCCTCTTTTCTGCTATCTGTGGAGACGGCGTGGATCCAGACGCAGCAGAGACCTCGGCGGGTGCTGTAGGACTAGCGTCGCTCTGACCCGCTTGCTGCGGCGATGACAAAGGCGCGCGCTGTGGCTGGCTCGGTGTGGTGCTGCGCAGCGATTCGGGCGTGAGGTTGGGCTCGAGCTTGACGCGCACCTTGCGTGGCGACTGCACGGGCGTAGACTGCACCGGAGGAGGCGCGGCGGTCTGTGTCGACGGCCGATGATGAGTCGGCTGCCCAGGCTCTGGTCCAGCACCGTCGGGCTCGGGCTCTTCGTCGTCTGACACAAGATCGACATAGAGACGCGCAGACTTATCTGCGATTCCAAGCAGGCCCGCCAGGCCGACAATGTCGTTGTACGGCAGCGTCTCGAACGGGGTGGTGCACTGGAGCAGCTGCTCGACATTATGGCGCTTGGTGCGGATCGACTCGACGAGCTCTTCGTCCGAGTCGCTGTGCAGCGTGACGACGTCGGCCTCGTCGTCTTCGGACGAAGAAGAGGCGTCCAGCTCGGGTTGTAGCACAGGCGGCGATGCTTCAGCCTTGACTCTGACCGGAGCAGGAGCTGGTTTTGGCCGTGGTGGACGTGGAGCGGCGGTAGGTGTGATGAGGTCGTAGTCGATCCAGGAGGGATGGTTAAAGTCGACCACGTCGTCGTCATCGTCTTCGTCGTCGGCTGCATGGTCACCAAGCAACGCCTTGCGCTGCGCTTCTGCCTGTAAGAATTCGCGCAAATCGGGGTCGTTGGCGGCTGGGTCGTGGTCGTTTTGGTCGTCATCGGACTGCTGAAAATCAGCATCGAGCTGTTGTGGGCGGTGTGCGTACTCGGGCGCATGGGAGGGGTCGAGGTCATCGTCCGCCTCGTCGTCCTCGTCGAGCTGCCGTGCTTCAGGCCGGTCTTTCCAGCCCTGGAGCTCCTCGTCCTTGATGAATACGCCGAATTCCATGCTCTGCCGCAGACTTCGCAGGCTGCCGCGGTCCTTGACGACGACGATGGGTTCGCCGTTGGCACGGTTGCCGAGATAGATCTCGTCCTGCTCCTGCAAATGGGCGTCTTTGAAGCGTTCAAAGATGCTGTCCCACTTGCGTTTGAGACGCTGCGTGGACTGGTGGTGCAGGTATTCGACCGTCTCGGTGCCGTCGTCGTTGTAGCGCGGGATGGCGGTGCGCATCTGCGAGGTGAACTGCAGGCGACGGCGCTTCGGGGCAAGTCGAGACGGGCCAGCTTCGGCGCCAGCACCCGCCGGATCCATGGCGCTGCTGACAATGCTGGCGTGTTAGCCTGCGGTGGTTGTGTTGGTGCTAGGAGAGGGGGTGGTGGTGGTGTTGGTCTGACGTGCATCTTCAACAGGGCGCGTTTGCATCCTTCAGGGTCCAACGCCATCACATCCCGATTTGCTTCGACTGGTCCCGATGCAATCGAGATGGCACGGTGTTGCTCCACCTCAGACTGTCACGTTCAGCGATGCCTTGGCAAACGCAACGCTCGGGCCGGCTCTTCTCTGCCACTACTCGCCATCAACGCTTCTACACCTATCACTCACCTGCTCGAATCTCAGGGAATTGCAGCAGAGCACTCTCGGCAGGCATGCGCTCGCCATCGCGCTGCCGCACACCATGTACTACGAGCGCAAGGAGCTGATCCAGTCGCTCGACCTGCTGTGCTTTGTGCTCTTCGTCTACACCTGGCTCCTGGACAACCGCACGCTACTGCTGCTCATCAAATCGGCGCTGCAGGTGCAGTTCTGCAATCCGCTGCAGCTGCATCCGACGTGGTCGCTGCCCTTCTTTGTCGTCTTTCTCGCGTGTCTCAACGCCCTCCTCGCACTCGCGCATCTCTGGGCGCCCGCAAGCGCGACCAACAGGGGCGATGCGATCCTCATCGACTTTGTAGGCCAGGATGCGGCACCGGGACGGCTACACATGCTGGGCATCGATCTGTCTGTTGCCTTAGTGCAGCTGCTCATGACGATTGTTGCGTTCGAGTGCGCAAAAGACCAGGCCAAGCAGGATGGAGAGCAGAGTCAACTCGATGACACCACCGAACGCGAGGGCGAGGAGCGTGGACAGGGGTGGGACGTGCGCGACGAAGAGGCGGCGCTGTTTGGACTCGATACCGACGATGAAGCGAGGCGCGAAAGGACGAGTCTGACACACTGCATTGCGGTCGTGCGCTTGCGGCCCATCGTCGACGACATTGTCAAGCGGCAGTTCCTGCCAGACGCGCCGCCCGCAGAGGCTCAGGAAGAGCCACAGCCCCAACAGCCACCGGTTGAGACCGGCGATCGACCGGACACGAGTCGCATACGACGCTTTTCGCGGCGTCCACGCGCAGCGCCAGCAGCTGCCGACGCCGGTGCGCCGCCAGCGTACGCGGGGCTGGGCCCTGTATCCGCCGACGACTCTTGGCCACCCATGTGGCTGATCCTTGCGCGCAACATGGGCGCACGCCTCCCCTCGCTTCCATCTCTTCCCTCTCTTCGCCCCTCAGTCATGAGCCGCTTTGGCCGGTCTCTCACCGCCAACCCGCCTGCAGAGTACACACGTGTCAATACCGAGCCACCCGAACGATAAATGTTTAGCATCGATAGAAACGTTTGCCTTTTGTGTATTTGTAGCGACAAGAAAAAGATGTGCGATTCCTTCAAAACGTTCCTCGTCATTTGTGGGATCAGGGACGATCTGCAAGAACCGGCAAGCATCGCCAATCTTGCACGTTGTATCCCCGCACCTTGCGCCCCTTCCGAAAAAGGAGGCAAGATGACGGGGCGCACAAAGCAAGCAGACGCTTCCACTATGCCCTGGTAGTTTAAGTCACGAGCCGTGGAGAACAATAGGCTCGCAACTAGATAAAACAGGGGTTGCAAAAGCAAAAGAGAGAGAGAGAGAAGATCACCTCAGTCGTAGGGAGGAAAAGGATGCGAAAGAGGAAAAGCGGCAATGCATGCTGGGAGGTTCGGTGGTGGTTGGCGTGGTATTAGATCGTGCGCGTCAATGACAAAGCTGGTCCTCCGATCCCTCGGAAAGCTCGAACGACGACGAGCATCGTATCAGAAAGAAGGATGGATAAGAGAAAGGCTGTTTTCGAAGAAACAAAGGAAATGCTAAAAACACATGTGGGATCGCATCATTCGTCCCTGCGGACGTCGACGATGAGGACCGGGCCCTGGGCTGCATGGACGTCTATCTGTCCACGCGCACAAGATCATCGCCTTTTGGTGTGTGTGTGTGTGTGTGGGTGTGTGTGTGTGGGTGTGTGGGTGTGGTGGTGTCGTGTGGTGATGAGAGCAAGTCGATTAGATGCTCGAGGGGTAGAGCATGATACGAACGCGGGCAGCGAAGGCCTGGGGAGGGATGTTGTGCGCGAACTTGGCACGCACGACACCCGAGTTGCCGTGAGAGCGGGTGATGCGGCCCCAGATGACGCGGATCTTGCTGCCACGCACCTCCTTGGTGGCCTTGTAGACGTAGGCGACGCGCTTGCCAAAGTAGAACTTGGCCTCCTCGGTCTTCTCAACACCCTCGATCTTGATGAGGGAGGTGTGGCACTTGGCCACGCGCTGCGAGCGCTTGTGACCCATGATCCTTCCCTTAACGTAAAGTCGAGACTGTGAAAGTTGGGCAGAAGCGGAAGCGCGGGAACGGGTCAGTGATGCTGTGGGTGGGGACATGTCAAGGAGCCGAACCAGCAACGCAGCCGTAAAACACCGTAGCCGCGGAGGGGAGAGATAGCTGAGCTAGTGATGCGATGTCGGGTGGGGCGATGATTATGGCTGAACGCGTCGGTGGACGGCAGTGTGGGACCTGCAGAGAAGGTCGATACGCGGCATGCGTCGAGTAGTTGATGCCTTTGCGAAGCTGCTGGTGATGCTACTGCTGCTGCTGTGCCGCAGGGGGCCTGGTATCGGATCGTGACGGTGCTGAGCACGCCGACGACTGTATGTACTGCGTCCGCTACGTCGAGTCATGCTAGAGCGTCGATAGAAGCTATGCAGATGACTCTTCCAGCCAACCATCGACCTTCGACCCTTCTGCCCCACCAAATACATGCAAATGCAGAGCTACGGGCTCTTGCTCCGATGCGTTTGCGTTTCAAAGGCGTGTGCTGAATGCAACGGTGACGGAGCGATCCATGCTATTCCTTCGCCCATCCCGGTCGACGACGATTACGCTCCGTAGTGGACGCACTTCTGTCCGTCTGGTTGCACACCACATTGACGATATCCAGGTGGGCCAACAACCGGCAGATGGCATGCACGACTGCGACAGGCGATAGGGCTGCTGCGATGTAGGCATGCAAGGAAGGTGCTTTTGCAAACGACTTGTTGGACGATGCTCCAAAGGCAATGCTCCGATATGCTGCATGTGTTCCGGGTCGATATGTCGGGGATGCGGCGGGGATGTCTGCGCGTATGTATGCTGACGGTGATGCTGGCTGCGTTGCTGTTGGCATTGTGTCGTATGCGAGCTTACCATTTTGACGGAGTATGTGTGTTGATGGTCTTGACGGTGGAATGGAAGGATAGCAATCGCGACTAACGTTGCTGCCTGGCTCGCTGACTGGCGGCGGGTGCGCAGCCAGTGTTGGCGCCGCCCTGTCGATTTCGGGGCAGCTGAGCCCAGCCAAAGCAGCTCTCCGCAGGGCTCTCTGGGATTGTTAGCCAGTGGACCAGCCCGCATCGGCAGCCGCACAATCAAGCCCATCTTCCGAGCCTCAGCTCGCAGCCACGCTCGCTCGCCGGGCAGGCCAAAATGAGCTCGGCCGAGGACACGTGACTGACTTTTGAACTTGGACTTGAAGGAAAATATCAGATCGATCGGGCCTCGTTGGGTCGCCCCATCTCCGATCTCCTCACGCGAGTTCCGAGGATCCCCAACGGCCAGCGAAATTCGAACTGCAGGGACCCTTTTTTGCCTTTGCTGCGTTCGGCAGTTTTTTGTTGGCTCGAACCCCGCGACATTGCCACCACTAACCACCATCGAGCCCTCATCACTCGATCACCTCTTTATACACACACCAATTCGGCCACGATGACGCGCACACGACACGGCAAGAAGACGCACCACGCACGACGCGACGTCAAGCGAGGCATGCGAACGCGCGCACGTAAGCTCGACCCGGACCAGATCCAGGCGAACCTCAACAACCCCCAGAGGCTCGACGAGCTGCAGAATCCCAAGGAGCTCGACGTCGACAAGGCGGGTCTCGGTCTGTTCTACTGCGTCGAGTGCGACCGCAACTTTCCATCCCAGAAGGATCAGCTCACGCACATCGCCTCCAAGCTGCACAAGCGCAGGGCGAAGAAGATCACCGAAGAGCCGGCATACACCATCGAAGAGAGCTTGAGGGCCGTCGGCATTGGAATCGACAACAAGCAGCGTGCCAAGCCTGAAGCGGCAAAGGAGGCTGCTTGATCACAACCACAGCTTCCGATACATACGCTCTTGGTCTGCGTCAGTCACCTCGTCCGATTTATGCTTTGAAGCTGCGCACAGAACGACCTGTTCTTTCTCTCCTTGTTCGCAGAAGGGTCCTCTTCCAGCATCCCTTTCAGGAACTGCTTCACGTACGTTGCCAGTGTGCTACATGCATCATGGCTCGTCTGTTCCGCCTCTGTATACCCCAACTCGATCTCGTCTCCTGCTTTGCAATCATGTATTTTTATTCAATGTTCATCCGCCTAGCTTGATTTCCTTGCCTTGCATGATTGTTCTTCATATTCCGAACGTGCCCCGCCCACCAAAGGTGTGGTGTAAGTTAGCGACCACGGTGAGAGCGCTGACATCGTGCATCCAGCAAGGGTCGGCTGCGCTGCGAGAAAGCGGAGCCCGAATCCCGAGATTTTCTTGACATCCACCAAAGCAACACGGCTCGGAATCTCGAAATGCCCAGTTGGACGCGACTCCACCTTTACCTTTTGTCGATCCATCACTCACCCTCATCAGCTAGCTGCATCGGCCACCATGTCAGGCAGCTCAGCAACGCCCGCGGTGAGCTACGACTGGGGCACGTCTTCGGACTTGAAGACGCTCTACGCCCAGACGTACACCATCTTCACATCGCTGCAGCGCATCCACCACGAGTCGCTCCTCACCGATCGTGCAGGCCATGGCGCATCCGTGCTGCCGTCGGCCGAGACCATCCAATACTACAACAGGATCAGCGGACACTACTCGCGCGCCATCCAGGACTACATCGAACGCGTGCAGCTCGACGACGATGCCGACGTGGACGTTCAACACTGGCAGCAGGCGCAAACCATCCTTCAGCTCGCAGAGGTCCTCTACTACCCCAAAGATGGGCGCGGAGTTAGCGTGGTGGGAGAGGAACTGCTGCACTGGCTCAACTCGTTCGACGTTGCGCCTACCACAGAGGAGGGGCAGGAGATTGCAGAGTCAGCAGTCCCACACGAGCATCCATCCTACTGGGACTATGTGCTGCGCTGCGTGCTGCGCGGCTTTCACACCTCGGCGGCGGCAGTGCTCAAGTCGCTCGACTCGCACCACTCGGCGGTCATCCGCAGGATCGCACAAAAGGCAGCACGCCTGCTCTCGACTCTGCCGCGCTCCACGGCTTTCTCGATGGAGCACGAGTTTGTGAGCGCGCACCGCAGCTGGCTCGCCTCGGTGCGCAAACTCATCAGCGCTCTCGAGCAGGAGATGGACGAAATGGAGGAAGAAGCAGGCAACACCGAGGACGTCGAAGACGAGAGGCTCGAGTACGAAGCGCAATTCCGATGTCTACTCGAGCTCATGGCGGGCGTCAAGGATCGCATCTTTGAAGCCTGCGAAGACTGGCGCGAGGCTCTGGGCGCGTGGGGTACACTCGTGCATCCAACGCTCAAGCGAGACGATGTGCCCACAACGGCGGCTCTCATCCTGGACAAGTTCCCCGTCGACGCCACGCTGGCGAGCGAGGCGGTGCAGCAGCACCTCATCAGGGGCGAGGTGCGTCAGGCGGTGCAAAGGTCGCAGGAGGTGGATGTGTGGCTCGGCGCCCATCTGGGCGATCTGGCGGACAAGGTGGGGCTGCTGGAGGACGAGGTGTCGTTGCAGTCGGATTTGCGGCAGCAGCTCGTGCTCCAGTATGCGCAGCATCTGCTGGACGAGCAAGGGCTGTGGCGCATCAGCATCGACTATCTCGCAGCATGTGGAGACAAGGGCCGGAACAAGATGTCGCATGTCATCCTTTCGGTGCCTTTGGACGGCCCAGAGCAGCAAGACCAAGAGCAGGACAATGCGATGGATGACGACGACGAGGATGTTGCTGCGCCACCCAAGCCTCTCGCACGTGCAGAGCAAGTGCTTCGCGCATGTTCGGAGCACGGCCTCGAGGCCGAGGCGCGTGTGATCTGCCGCCGAATGTCGCGCTCGTGCATGGACAAGGGCGAGTACGGCGTGGCGATCGCATACTGCGTGCGCGCGTCGGACACGGTGCTCATCCGTACGATCGCCGACCGCATCCTGGTCGAATACGTCACGCGAGGCGCCGAGGCGTTTGACGAGATTGTTGATTCGGTGCCGACGTCGTTGATCGCGCCGCAAGACGACGAGCGCGAGTTTGGGCGTCCGACGCTCTTTTCCAAGCGACTGGCATTCCTCGCGCGCTTCCGCGACTTCCACCGCCTCTACGCCGATGGACAATGGACGGCGGCAGCGAGCCTGCTGGTGGAGCTGGTGACCACCGAAGCGGCGCCCGAGCGCTTCCTGGCGGTGCTGCTCGTCGACGCGATCCCCATGCTCGAGGACGGACAGGCGACGTGGTTCGACCGCGCACAGACGTTCGAGATGATCCGCATCGTCGAGCGCATCACCAACGCCGTGGCCATGCATCCCGACATGGCACACCACTTCCTCGGCTACCTCGACCAGCTGCTCGGCGTAGACACCGACCAGAACCAGCCGCACAAAGGGCAGCAGGTGATGGCAGGATTCAAGGCGTCGGACAAGCTGGATGCGGTGCGTCTGTCACTTGCACGCAACCTGGCGCGTGTGGGTGTGATGCAAGTAGGCATTGCGTGAAGGGGCAATACAGCATTTTGCTCTATACGATGTTTGCTCTGAGTCCGGATTGTGAGAATCAAGATTGGCAAATGCTTCACAGAGCGTGGCAGCGTTGGTCTGATCGGGGTGGAGGGAAACTGCCGCGCGACTCAGTCCAACACGCTGCGAATGGCCGAGGAAACGCGCTGAGCTGGGTCAGAAAAGTCGCGCTCCGTGCGGCGAGTCGCGTAGAGTGGGGCGGGCGCTCTTCCCAAAAGAACAACAGCTGCTGCGCCATCACCTCCTCTCCACCATCCCACCACGGCCGCTCTCGCCTGCCACATCTCTATCCCGCTCGACCTGCTCGCCATCCCACTGTACATCAGCACTCCTGACAATGGATTCAAAAGGCAAGGGTAAGGCGACCGACGCCACCTCTGCCGCCGCCGCCGACCAGGACCTCCTGCCCTGGGTGGAAAAGTACCGTCCCGTCACGCTCGACGACCTCGTCTCGCACAAGGACATCACATCGACCATCCAGAACTTCATCGACAAGAATCGCCTCCCGCACCTGCTCTTCTACGGTCCGCCGGGGACGGGTAAGACGTCGACGATCCTCGCCATGGCGCGGAAGATCTACGGCGCTCAGTTCCGCAATAGCGTGCTCGAGCTCAACGCCTCGGACGAGAGAGGAATCGACGTGGTGAGGGAACAGATCAAGAGCTTTGCCAGCACAAAGAGCGTGTTTGGTGCAAAGGCCGGCTTCAAACTCATCGTGCTCGATGAAGCAGATGCCATGACGCAGGCTGCCCAAGGCGCCCTGCGAAGAGTCATCGAGCAGTACACCAAGAACGTGCGCTTCTGCATCATCTGCAACTACGTCAACAAGATCATCCCCGCCATCCAGTCTCGCTGCACGCGCTTCCGATTCAACCCGCTCGAACCAGACCAAGTCGAGTCGCGTCTTCAGCACGTCATCGAATCCGAGCACTGCAACATCACCCCTGGCGGCAAGGAAGCGCTGCTCAAGCTCTCGCGCGGCGACATGCGTCGGGCACTCAACGTGCTCCAAGCCTGCCACGCCGCATCCGACCACATCGACGAAACGGCAGTGTACAACTGCACCGGCAACCCCCACCCCGAGGACATCGAGGCTGTCCTCAAGTCCATGATGCAGGACGAATTCACCACTGCCTTCAACACCATTGTCGCACTCAAAACCGCAAAGGGCATCGCGCTCGCAGACATGATCAGCGGCGTCTACGACCTCCTCGCCAGCATAAAGCTGCCCCCAAAGTCCAGGATCTACCTCCTAGACCATCTCGCAGATACAGAGTAAGCACACATCCCGCATTTCATCATCACCAGGACAGCGGCATACTGACATCCACCAATATCTTCTCCGCTCACGCGATTCAAGGCACAGACTCAGCACGGGCGGATCAGAGAAGTTGCAGCTCACAGCGCTGCTCGGAGCAGTCAAGATCGCAGTCGAACTGTCGCAGGCCTAGATCCCCACAATTCACAAATGCGCACTGCAATCACACTTCCATCGGCACACTTGTGCTCCTGCATCAAAATGACCACTCGTGCATCATCTCAGTGAAAGGGCATCACTTCGGTTCGTCATTCGTGAGCAAAGGAGGAGAGACAAAAGAAAATCGATTCCATCAGACTTGGAGCATTGGTGTATACACGTCTCAATCCCTCTCGTCAGGCCGCCGCCGGCTGCGGCTGCGTCTGCCACACCAGATCGAGTTCCTCGCGCAGCGTCTCCTCGCGGAATCGCAGCCGGATGTCGGGCACGTTGCTCTTGGCCACCACGTTGCCGCGCGGACCCGGCAGCTGGAAGTTGGGCCCCAGCCAGTGGCGCTTGATCTCCATCTCCCATCCGGACTGCAGCACCGAGTTGCGCGCCAACTCGCACATGTCCGCCGGCGTCAGCTTGTAGATCTGCGTCGCCACCGAGTACTCCTCCAGCAGCGGCTCCTTGGACAGATGGAACTGCAGCGGGTCGTCCGTGCTGATCGACACGTTCATGCCCATCTTGAGGAACGTCGGGAACGGGTTGCGCTCGTACGACAGGAACAGCGCATTGTTGCTGAGCGGCGACATGGCCAGTCCAATCTGCTTGAGATAGTAGAGATACTGCAGAGCCGGTACCTTGCGCAGCAAGATACCGTGTGAGATCGACTGCGACGTCAGGAAGGCAGCGGCCATGTGGTCGGTGTCGCCAGCCTCGCCCGCGTGCGGTCGCAGCACAAACGTGTTGAAGCCACGCAGCTTGCGCCACTGGTTCAGGCTCGAGAGGTTGGCAAACATGTAGTAGAGCCAGTAGTTGTACGGCGGACTGTCCTTAAAGTCCCACAGCTTGGGCACGGGGAACTTTTTGTGCACGCGTCGCTCGGGCTTGCTCTCGTCGTCGACCAGGTCAAAGCCAATGACGCGCTGGAGGAAAACGTGCAGCTTGGGATGGCTCTGCGGATTCTGCGTCACCTCGAACAGAGGCTCAAAGACGTTGCGGATGATCTGCTCAAAGTTGTCCACCGTGCCGTTGGCCTTGTACACGTCGTAGAGCCTGGGCACCTGGATGAGCCATCGCACGTTGGGACTGAAGAGTCCGTTGTCCACCACCCAGCTGGCGAGCTTGTCCCACTCGGCGCGCGTGCGGCCGTAGATGGAGACGCGGTACTCGGCCATCTGGTACTTGCTCTGCTCGAGATCGTTCATGACTTCCTTGGTGAGCTCGGCGAGATACCTGCCCTTGATGAGGTTGTCGGTCTTGAGGAAGATCTCGCGCAGACGCGATTCGCCCATGGGGTTGTATTTGAGGTTAAACTTATCGAAGCGGTGGAAGGCGTCTTGGTGGGCGTGCATGTCGAGCGTGTCGATGCTGAGGTCGTAGGCGGTGAGCTTGAGCGACTCGAACACCTGCTGCAAGGTGAGCGCCTTGCCGTCTCTGTGGATGACGACGTCGTCGGGGAAGCGCTTGATCTTGGCCTTGATGAAGCGGAGCAGATGCTTCTGGTTCATGGAAGCGCTGTGGTGGACGTGCGTGTCGACCTTACGCACGTTGTAAAAGTCACGATGAGGTACGCGCTTCATGTCGGCAAGCTCGCGGTACTCGTTGAGCAGGAAGTAGAGGTTCCACTTGCTCTCGAGGTACTTGAGCCGGCGCCAGGCAAAGCTCTTGACGGGGCCATCCGAAATGACGCCTAGAAGGTAGTCGAGATCCTTGAAGTACTCGCGGATGGTAGGGACGGAGAAGAGGGGCTTCTTCCTGGAGTCGGGGTGCGTGGTGGCGAGCACGGGATCGTCAACACTCTGGGTGGGCGTCGAGACAGCGGAAGGCGCGTCGCCGTGGTAGACCTGGATGACGCCGGTCTCGTCCATGTCCCAGGTGACCTGTGTACCGTTGTAGGTGTGGTTGGAAGGGATGAGAACGTCTTCTTCGCGGTACTGGCCGGGCCTGCCGCCGGTGCTCTCGAGCAGAGCCTGGGCAGCCTGTGCGTTGGCGGGACTGGCAGGCGGGATGGGAGGGGGCAGCGGATTGACCGAGGTGGGACGCACGACGAAGGAAGACTCGGGCGGAGGGTTGAACAGCTCCCAGTGGGGGCGGGGCGGGGCAGGATAGATGCGCCAGGGCTTGGGTTTCTGCGTGGCGTCGTCCACGGACGCGCCGTCGATCTTGATCGAGCCCTCGGCGACGGGGGCATCCGAGTGGCGAAGGGGAGTGTCGCCATTCTTGGCGGCGTGACGCGCACAGTACTCGGCATCCCAGTTCTTGGGATTGTCCTCCATGTTGCCCTGGAGACTGGCGCCCATGTACTTGTCCCTGAGCTCGAGACAAGTCTGAAGGCTGGAGTACAAGGCACGGAGCTCGCCAGAAAGCTCCGAGTGGACGGCGACGTTGGACGCGCTCAGGTGAGAGTGGTCGGCTTCGTTTCGCGCGCCAACGGGAGCATGAGGGGCGGCGCCGAGACCTGCAGCCGCGGCGGCCGCCTCTGCGGGAGAGGCGGCAAAATGGGCGGCGTGGTCATTGACGGCAGCGTGGATGGAGGAGTGCTTGGGCACGGACTGGGCGTCGGCGGGAGCATCGTGGAAGATGGTTGCGACGTTGGGCGGTGGAACGGGAGTGCCATCGCCCGAGACGTCGAGGTCAGCGTTGGATCTTCGGTCGTCCTGGAGGGATCCGCCGGAGAAGACCGAGGAACGCTCTGCAAGCGAGGTGGAGGCAAAAGTGGGTTCAAAGTCGTTCTGAGACGAAGCGGTGAAAGAGCCTTGGAGTCTAGCGGGGATGTCGATGGCCGGGGACTCGGGGAGCGAAGAAGAGATGCGACGGTGGGCCCAGTAGTGACCGTCGGATTCGTGAAGACGCTTCTCGTCTGCCTCCGAGTAGTGGGAGGCGTCTGCGCGAGTGGCGGGAGGAGTGCCTGCGGTGTTTGCGTCCTGCTCAAAGGCGTTGCGGTCGCTCGAAGCGGGCGACGAGTCGCGCGTGGACGAAGACTGGAGCGAGAGGGCGCGAGCCATTGCCGAGAGGTCGGCGTCGACGCCGTTGGGCCTTCGAGTGCCACACATGGCGAGTCGCGACTCGTCCGGTGGTGATCTGCAATGGGGGAGAGGGGAGGTTAGCAGCTGCAGCGTGCGCCGATCACAAAGCACAAGATCGAGGGAGCGAGACGGCGCAATGGGCGGTAGGATTGAACAAACAACGACCAAAAGACGGGGGCGAAAGGGAGATGCGCGTTCCTCGCCTCGCTTTTATCGTTGGCCCCGCAACCTCGACGATAGGCAAAAATGATGGATTTTCGACACTCTGCAGAAGAGCCGAGGATCCGACTTTGCAGAGCTCGGACTTGGCCGAGGCGCTGCTTTCTCGGTCGAGAAAAGAAAGCACCCCCAGTCCGACGCGTCTCGAACTGTTCACGCGCCGAGCCGATGCCACGCGCACCACTGCATGCCAATCCCATCGCATCGGGCAAACGAAAAAGAACAACACCTCAACACCCGCGCGTCTCCGACCCGTCCCACCACCACCTCCGCTCACAATTTCAACAGCCATGGAGAACGCACTGCAGTCGCTCACCAATACGCTCGAGGCCATCAACAGCCGCCAGGCAGCCGCCCGTAAGCGCGCTAGGAAGGGTATCGATGCCACGCCATTCACCTCGGCCGTGCTCAACCGCGAGCGTCTCGACATCTACACCTACATCCGCGACGCCGATGCGCACACCGAGGCAAACCTCTTCTGGTATCCGCCCGTGCCCCAATCGGCCTCCGCATCTCGCGCAGGTCCCAGCTCGTCGACGCATAGCCGCTCCACCCACTCCGGTCGCAGCTCCAGTGCAGCCCATCTCGGCGACGACACCGCCGACGCCAACCTGCTCCTCGCGCCCCGTCTTCCCGAACCCAGGCAGGTGGCTCCTCCCACGCCTCTGCGCAACAATCACGCCGGCTCCACCTTCCAGGGCCAGAATCAGGCCAACGACGATCCGCGTCTGTTGCTCATCGCTGCACTCCGCCTCAACGAAACTTGCGGCAAGGGCACGCGAACGCGCAAGCACATCAAGGGCCTCCTCAAGACACACTCCAATCTCGCCCAGTCCATCAAATCGTACGAGCTCCAGATTCGTCAGAGCGAGGCTGAGCTGCGTGCCAATGCAGAGGGAAGACCCGGTGCTGTCGCTTCGGGTGCCGGCGCAGGTCTCGACGCGTCGCACCCGGACAATGCTGCATCTGCGCTCGATGAGGCCAACATGCTTCTGTCGGAAGTGCAGGAGAGCATCCGCAAGGAGGAACTCGAGATCCTCGCGCTCGACGAGATGATCGGCGAGCTGCGTCAGGCGCGAAACGATCGCCAGAAGCAGGAGCTTCACAAGCAACAGCAAGCTGCCCTCGCTGCCGATGTCACCTTGCAGACGCACGATCGTAGCTCACTGCGTGTGCTCCCGCGAGAATCGCTCGGTCGAGCCGTGGATGACGATGCACGCGCCCAACAAGCTGTGCGCGAGGTCAGCCAACCTCCGCCGCAAGACGAAGAGCAAGAGCTGCCGGACAGCCCACTCGACGTCTCGCACGAGGTGGCAGACGCGGACTTTGTTGCTGAGGATGACGACGAGCCAGCCACAGCTGAGCAAAAACAGCACAACGTCGACGAGACGGTGGAGCCCGACTCGTCCTTCGCAAGTTCACACCACGATGCCTTGTTGCAGGAGTCTTTCAATGCGGATGCTGACCTCACGATCCAGCATGGCGAGCAGGACCGCGTCGAGTCGCACGATGCCAACGAGCTGGCAGACAATTCCGCTGCGATCCTTCCTGCTGAAATTCCGGTGGAAGCCGTGGCGACGCACACCCAAGAATCTCTGCCGTCGCATCTGCACGCTCCGGCGCAGCAGAGTTCCGCCGAGCTGGAGCGCGTCACGCAAAAGGTGTGGGAGGTGTTTGGAGACGCTCTGCGCTTTGTCGCACCCGAACGCGAAAGCTCGAGCTACGCCGACACGCTCGACGTGCTCAGGTCGCTGATGAGCGGAGGCGACCGACCGAACCTGGGCGACTACTCGGTTGGCTCGATTCAGACTTCTTCGACCACCACCACCGCAAGCGAGGCGTCGGGTGCAGCGACGGCGGCGCAGCTTACGCCCGAGGTGCTCATGACGGCCTTTGTCATCTTCCAGATGCTCGTGTCCGAGGAGCCGCACCAGCTCAACATCGACGAGCTCAAGATGCGCGGCCACGAGTGGTGGGCTGCGTCGGGCATGCAGGTGTGGATGCAGGCGCGAAGCCACGAGGAGGGCGAGGTGCCCAGTCGCATCGAGGCGTTTGAAGACGGGCAGAACCTGGCGAGGAAGGCGACGTACGGAATGATCTCCAAACAGCTCTTTGCGATCCGACGCCAGAAGGGCGTTGGCCTCGTCGGCTTCGCATAGACGTCTGTAGAGCAGAACACGCACGCTCGATGTTGGATGGCAATGTCTGGATTCGACGGGTATATGCAGATTTGTGGGCCGTGCCAAAGCGTGCTGCTCTCGTGTCGAATGAGTGAGCAAGTGTTCAGGACTCGGATGTCAGGACGCCGACCATGGCGGTGTCGATCATGGAGTCGATGTTGACCCACGAATGGGTGAGTGCTGCGGTGGCAGTCAAAGTCAATCAAAGTCGAGACAGGACTGGACGAGGTGAGCAACTTGAGCTTGGAAGACATTTGCGCACGAACAACGACGTACCAAACAAGCGGGTGCCGTCACGGCCTGCGCAACGCATGAGTTCGTCTTCGCCGCCAGGATGGAAGCGGAGATAGGGCGTGATGTTGTACACCTTGCCATAGAAGGCGGACCAGGCGTCTTCTTTGGAGTTGTGTTTCTTGAGCTCGGACGGCGTTACTCTGAGCAACGAGGTGACGCCTCCTCGGAGGTCGGTGCTGTTCTTGAGTCTTGCCCAGTCGAGAGGGCTACATCCGGGAGCGAGCGCCACCTTTTTGCGCTTTTTTCCAGCATCTCCCTGCACACCCGATGCTCCTCCCACACCCAAGGGTGCAGTGAGCGCCGATGTGGAAGGTGGTGCTGCGAGTCCGCCGCTGCGAGACGATGCCGAGGTGGGTGGCGGGGCCATCAGGGAATTCGAGGAGGTCGAGGTAGGACGCGGTGCGACGGCCTGCAGAAAAGCTGCCGCTTTGGTTGGCGCAGGCGAGCGTGGAGCAGTGCTTGTTGACGCAGAGCTCTGTCGCTGAGCGCTGTTGAGGCTGGGAAAGGCGGGTGGGGTGTCGTCGTCGATCGAACGCCTTGGGCTGCTGGTGGCGCTCGCGAAGGATCCCGATCCGTCGTCCGAGTGAGCGTCGGTGTCGTCGACAGAGAGGCGGATCTCGTTGAGATTGATGCCAGAGAGGCCTGAATCGACAGTCGCGATCATGATGGCCTCGTGCTCTTTCGGGTGATGATGGTGGTGATGGTAAGCATGCTGGCTGCTGTCCAACCACTTTTGGGCAGGGTCCACTGGGAAGAGAAGAGTCTCACGTAATCCGGACTAAGCCAGCTCGAGGCGCTGAATTTCGCAGGGCGGGCGTGTGGCGGTGTCATCCGGCTTCCACGGCACAGCCGCCAAGTCTCAATCAGGAGACGCGCAGTTGCATCACTCGACCGAGCACAGACCCACACTTTCCACACTTGACCGACATCCCAAACTCAGCCTTTCCTTCACGTCCACCATTCGGCATACCGTGATACCACCCCCGCCACACACCTGCAACATGTTTGCAGCCAAGAACCCCTTCGAGGACATCGTCACAAACGCAACCTCGGATGAGCTCACCGCAGAAAATTGGGAGCTCAACCTCGAAGTATGCGACAAGGTCTCTTCGGGCGGCGAGTCAGCGTGAGTATTCCCCCCAACTACCGCTCTAGCGAGTCGTTCGATGCCTTCTGACACTCCTGCTTTCAATCTTCCTTCTCTTCCAGAGCGCGCAACTGCATCGGTGCAATTCAGAAGCGACTCGTGCATCGAAACGCAAACGTCCAGCTCTACTCGCTCACTCTCGCCGACGCCGTCGCCAAAAACTGCGGCCTCACTGCACACCAGGAACTCGCAAGTCGTTCCTTCACACAGACGCTCGCACGCATCTGCTTGGATCGCAACACACACGCAACCGTCAAGAAGCGATGCTACGCCCTCGTCAAGGAGTGGGCAGGCGAGTTCGACGACGAGAGCCTCGGCCTCATGAAGGAGACTTACAACTCCCTCAAGTCCCAGGACGCAGTCCAAGAAGAAGACTCGGCTCCCAAGCCTCCCAAAGAGCCAACCTCGGAGCAGCTCCGAGCAGAGGATGAAGAGCTCAGAAGGGCCCTCGAACTCTCCATCCAGGATCAGGGCGGTCGCCAGGCCTGGTCCGCCTACAACTCGCAGCAGCCCGAGGCGTCCGGCTCCTCCGCCCCAGCCGCTTCCAGCTCCGCCATTCAGCAGCAGCAGCAGCAGCAGCAGCAGCAGCAGCAGCAGCCTGCCCAATCTTTCGCGCCCTCATCTCAACCCCAACCAAGCCAGCCCAACACCGCCACACAGCCAATCCAATCTACCGCAGCGCCCGCCACGCCGGTCGGTGCATCCCGCGTACGGGCCTTGTACGATTTCGCTCCCACCGAGCCCGGCGAGCTCGCCTTCTCCCGCGGCGAAATCATCCGCGTCCTCGACAGCGTCTACGAGCACTGGTGGAGGGGTGAGGCTCGCGGCGAGACCGGCATCTTCCCCGTCAACTACGTCGAGATCCTTCCCGACCCCTCGCCCGCCGAGCTCCAAAGGGAGGCAGAGATGGAGGCGCGAATCTTTTCCCAAGCTGCCGACATTGACAGGCTGCTCAACAAGCTCCGCTCCATCGACCCCGCTCGCGACAATCTTGCCGAAGACGAGGAACTCCAGGAACTCTACCAAAAGTCCCTCGCCATGCGTCCCAAGATCGTCAAGCTCATCGATCGCTACTCCAACAAGATCACCGAACTCAAGGCCATGAACGACAAGTTTGTGCACGCAAGAGGCTCCTTTGACGACATGATGGAGCAGAGCCTCTCGCGCTACAACCCCGCCGGCCAGTCCAGCCAGGACTACCTCCGCCCACGCCCAGACCTCCAACAACATCCCTCGGCCTCCTCGGCCGACTATGCCAACCACAACGGCTGGGCCCCCGCACAGCCCTACCCTCCTCATCCCGCCATGCCCGCATCCACCTCCCACGACCAGAGCCAGTACCCCTTCCACGCTCAGCCACCACACTCTTATCCCCAGTCCTCGTCTGCCAGGCCAGCAGACGCTGGCTACGCTCCCACCACGCATGCCTCCCCGCATCCCCAGCAGCAGCCCGCTTCCGCCTACCAGCCCATGCCCCACGACCAGCAGTACGCTTCCGTTCCCCAAGACGACGAGAAGCGCAGGCTTTTCGAGAGGGCGCGCGCCGAAAGCGAGGCCTTCCAACAACAGCACTTCCACGGCCCAAGTCAGCCGTCCGGAAGTAGCTACGCTGGCGCATATCCCTCGCACCCAGATCCGTCCGCCCTCAATCAGCAGATGGGCAACATGAGCATCGGAAGCTCCAGCGGCTATCCTTCCCAGCCCGTCGGCCATTGAATTGCTAGTGCCAATCCATGTCAATGTCAAGCGTCACTGCCGCGCAATCTCTCTCTGACTCGCTCATCTCTGTTGCCGTGGCTAACTATATTGCATGAGGTCCACCTCATGGAATCATATCGAACAACATGCACGAGCCGTGAATCGTGACTGTGGACACAAGACCCAAGCATGAAGGCAGCTTCCGAACGGTTGGTCAAACGTGAAAGAAGCATCAAGCCAAGCCAGACATAGACAACGGCAGGGGCGTGAAGCATCCCGTTTTCACACTGACGACCTTGAAACCTCTTGAGTCATGACTATCGACGCATATTTATTGTGAGCATTAGAGGCGTCAAAGCGTGTGATATGCCAACAGCCATGCATCAAATCGACAATGTGGTTGGGTCGTGAATCAGGGTATGAGCGCCTGCTAAAGGAAGCGCCACTCGGGCTGTTTCATCTCGCCGTACTGAAGATTGGGAAGGAGCAAAGCGCGAAAAGGGAAGAAACGCATTATGATAATGCATCATGCTCCAAACCATCCGCTTTCACCAATCGCCCTGGGCTTGGTGACTTCGTCTTTGTGCTTCGAACTCGCAAGAGAAGCTACTCATGCATGCCTTCCACTTAGAAAAGTCTGCTGAGGCGTTTGTGAGCCGTGGCTTTATCGGTGTGTGTGACGCATGACAAAAGAGTGCTCTCGGCAACCTCGCCCATGCAGTCCTGGTCGATTGCGCGGGCCATCCTGTACAGGGCAGCCATGCAGAAGTTGCAGTCCTTGTTGGCCTTTTGCAGCTGGGCCTTGAGCAAGGCAGTCTGCTACTGCAGCCTCTGTACATACCTCCTTACGTCGCCGTTGGTGCTTGGATCAGCCATCCTCTCAACCATAGCGCTGTGCTTGCGCTGTGCTTGCGCTGGACTTCCTGTTGCTGTCCTCTGTTGTCCTCTTGCTCGTGCTGACAGGCAGCTTGAGATTGCAGCAAGCGGTTGTGAGTGCAGTAGCACCGATGTCGCATGCACCAGATGCACTTCTGGGATCCTGTTCCGTTCACCACGTAGCGAGCGAGCACGACAGATTGAAGCAACAAAAGTCAGCGGCGGGTGTTAAAAAAAGCAGAAGAAAGAAGCATCATACCAAGAGATGTAGGGGCACGCGCGCAGTCCAAAGCAAGGACGAACCACATAAGTGCAGGACAGAGAGGCTTGCAGGGCGGAAACCTGGTGAATGCGGTGCGATTGTACTGCGGGAGAAACCATGAAAAGAAAAAACAAGAAACATAAAGAAAGAATCAAAGTCGGCGTGCTGTTCTCCGAGATGCCAAGAAAGGACCACCTAAAAAGAGGCAAGAGGATGAGCAGGAGATCAAAGACAGGAGCGTAAGCCAGGTCCTGAAAAATCACATGCACCATGAAGGTGATAGCTTACATAGATCTACAGCGTAGATGTCGTAAATCATGATGCACTGCGGATGGTCAGTCAAATTATCAGATCGGCAACTCATGACTTTCACATTTCACGTTCGTGGATTTCTTTAGTCTACGGAGGTCATTCATGCACAGTCCACAACTCGTGTCATGGACAATGAGGGCTGCGTCGAGCTGAATTAAGTTATTCGGACCCCGAATATCTCGCTTGGAGATTGCATCAATGATGTGGAATCCCCACCAATGTTAGTGATGGCCTCAGAGCAATCACGATTTTTGACACGCAATCAAATTGCGAATCTCAACCTAAAGAATTGCGAATCGTAAAACAAATTTCTGATCAGGCATCATGAAGGCTGCTCTTCGACCGCCTTTATTTCGTCAAAATATGACACAAGTCTAGCAATTGACACACAAGAATATAAATTTCAGCGCGTGAGTGGCCACCGCCGAGACAGGCCCATTGGTGAAACATTTTTTACGAAAATGCCATGATCAGCCGGCGGTCCTTTTGATGTGAGCGAGCGTTGGAATCGAAAAGCTACCGGAATGTGCAACTTATACAATAAGAAAGCAACGGGGACTGACTGGAGTGTGGGGGCTTTCAGAAGGTGTTAGTGATCCTTGTGTTCTAGCCTTGCGCGCAGTATCCTGAAGGTAACGGCACCAGCCATAATTTTTCACATCATAAATCATAAATCAGGTCTGGAACTCGAAATGATGGTACTTGTTCGCAAGGTCAAGCGATCAAATTCGATCAAGTCATAATTTACCCTAAGAAAACGCGAGCTGGCGAGGAGCAGCCACCCATCAGCCATCCCCCCCGGGTGGCTTCTAATCATCAGCCACCCCTCAGCCACCCGGGGTGGCTGGTGGGTGGCTGCTCCTCGCCAGCTACCGTTTTAATAGGATATGATGGATCAAGGCACTCCAAGGACCGAATTCTATACAGCAGGCTCGTAATATGATTATTCACGTCAACTTATGGCACCCGTCGTGTGTGCGAACGCGTCCATCTTCAACTATTCTTGGAAAACGATGCAAGAGAGACAGGGGCTAAGAATCACGGATCACAAAATCATACACACTTCAGTCTTCCCGCAGCTCCCGTCTGTTCTTTTTTTCCGTTGCGTGTTCCACATCGTTTTCCTGGAACAAAGGTCTGAGTGTCGCTCCACGTCTTTTGCCCTCCTCTGGGCATCATCGCGCAGAGCTAACAAAAGATCACCTTGCAGTGCGTCCCGCTGAGGGAAATGGGAGTGCTCCTGGCCTGGCTTGGAACGAGGGTCTTGCGGAAGCCCAGCCTCAAATGGATACAGTGGCTGATCGTCCTTGAGCTGTCAGGGGGAGGGCAAGTGGAAGACCTCGGCCTGTGCCACTCATATCCTAAGAAAACGCGAGCTGGCGAGGAGCAGCCACCCAGCAGCCACCCGGGGTGGCTGGTAATTAGCAGCCACCCCACAGCCACCCGGGGTGGCTTCTCGCGATCAGCCACCCAGCAGCCACCCATGTGTGTGTGGGTGGCTGTGGGGTGGCTTCAATTGATCAGCCACCCSGGGTGGCTGATGGGTGGCTGMYCSTCGCCACCCMCCCSWYTTKTTAGGATATGACTGAGGCCACATCTCCAGACGAATTGAGGTAAAACTCTTCAAAGATGTGCTGAAGTGCCTGCAGGGAGATCGTACACCTGCATAACCATCTCAATGGCCCGATCCACCAGCTTGTGGGGATCTTCATGGAGGGCCTCATTGCAGGGAGGGAGCCACGTCCCCCCTTGATTGGGGGAGTCATATCCTAACAAATGGGGTGGGTGGCGACGAGCAGCCACCCATCAGCCACCCGGGGTGGCTGATCAATTGAAGCCACCCCACAGCCACCCACACACACATGGGTGGCTGCTGGGTGGCTGATCGCGAGAAGCCACCCCGGGTGGCTGTGGGGTGGCTGCTAATTACCAGCCACCCCGGGTGGCTGATGGGTGGCTGCTCCTCGCCAGCTCGCGTTTTTTAGGATCTGAGTCTCTCTCCTGCTGGTACGTGGCATTGCAAGTGAGCCTTCACAGCTCATCCCATTGGGAGCTCACGGAGGCACCAGCTTGCTTTGAACCGGAAAGCCAGGACTGGTAGGCCTTTGACCAGTGCTGGCCAATCACGGTCCTGATTGCCACCTCAACAAAAGTCTTGTGTTGACAATCAATGAGGGTGACGAGCTCCTTTCGCTCCCTTGCCTCCCTGGCAGCAGCAACAGGGGCATTCGAGGTGTCACTCTCACTCTGGGCTGCCGCCTGCGTTGGCTCCAGAGGGTTGAGCCTGTTCTTGGCCACCACAGGATAAGGTAGAGGAGGAAGCTCTCGGGAGAAATCCACCATTGGGCTATGAGATTGTTTGCCCCCGCAATCTCCCTCGCCCCGCCATGGTTATTGCTGCGCATGACCCTGTAAAACAAGGAAAAGGAAGCTGGCCCATCGAAGAGCTTTCCGATGGCTACCAATGTGCAGGAACACGACCGCTAAGTAAGTCTCGTGACATTAGTGTTGTTGGCAGCGAGCTTCGCAAGCTCTGATTGCGTCTGCCACTTCGCAGCGGAAGCTCGATGCCATGTGTGTGACCCGTGGTCTTTCAAGTTCACGAATCAATGATTCAGCAAATCATGATTATCCTTCTTTCGGTAGGAAGCGACGACAATTTCAAGATTTAGAGCCAAATTTGGACGACACGACCGGACTGCATGGGACTCATATCTTTGTGCTGGGTCCATACTGATCATGATTCTCATTCCAGCCGATTGCAAGCCAAGGCGGTCGGCTAGCGCATGGATTTGAAGATAACTTAACTTACAAGGCCCCACTTCTTTCGATCGATAGGGATCATGAATGCACGCTAAACGATGGAATTACAGTAGATGCGGATTGCAGGTGGACCACCGACCGGATTTTTAGAAAATCCGGGCATAAGTTAAGGGCGTCGCTAGCTGACTTGGTCCTATCTCGCAAAAATGTCGATAGACTCAACGAACTGATTATGAACCGTAACTTGACTCAGTTTATGAATAAATCGTGATCCATGCATGCATTTCTAAAGATGAATCTCAGGCGGTCCCAAGACGCATCTGGTCATCTGTGATGCTTGCGTTGAGCGCGTGCGCTTTGCATGAACGCACAAGTCTGCGAAATCGTGCGTCAGAGACGAGGAGTCTTCAAACGATGGCTCATGATCAACAATCTACGAACCATGACGGTGAAATTCCATTGATGGCCAGAAGCAGCTCCGACGTGCCAGGAATCCATCCTGAAGCATATATCGTGAAAAGTAAAGGCTTCAGGCTACTGCTTCGAGCCAAGCGCCAGCCAATTGCGTAGCCATTAAGCGGGCATACCGACGCAGTTGGCTGTGCGGTTGAAGTCAAGCGTGCAAGCCTCGGCTTCTGCTGATGCGAGGCATGTTCGGGGACGCACCTCGCGACATCCGATCTGGATCATGACAACAAATTAGTTCACGCTAGAAACACGCACATCATGCATGTCGATGCACTCTATCAGATGGCGGTTGCGCTCGCATGGAATGTTCTAGGCATTGACATTGTTGATCATGTTTGGACCGGCGACGGCACGGAGAGAGTGACGCCAGCGGATGAAGGAGAGTGCGTCAAGACGTACGGTCGGCGGGTCTGGTGCCGCTCTGTAGCTCACGAATGAGCTGACAGGCCTGCTCTTGGACGTCGCCGCCCTCTTTGAAAAGTCTGAAGACGGTGGTGCGAGGTAGCATGCTTGTAGCCTTGTTGAGCCGGGTTTGGAAGATCTGGGCTTGTCTGATCTCTTGCTCAGAGAGGGCCCGGGAGGTTCGGACAGCTTCGGCAGCTCGACCGGTGTAATTTGAGGTTGGCAGATCCAAGACTGTGGGCGCCCTGGGCGGATAGGAGGTGTCGAAGAAGGGCATCTCTGGCGCATCGGTGCGACGAATGGGGCTCGGTTGCGTCAAAGCACTCTTTGGAGCGGACGGCAAGGTTTGGCCTGCAGGGGCAGCGTTACTGGTCGTGGATGCGTCAGAAGCCGATGAGGCGGAGAATGCGGAGGAGTCGGGTGTGCGAGCCGCGGGAGTGCTGACGTCGCGGATGAAGATTCCACGAATCTGAGAAGGACGTTCTGCAGCCAAGGCACAGTAAAGCTCGAGGTCGAGCTCACCAGAATCGCCGATGAGGATGAATTGGGAGGTGCGAAAGTCGTCGAGGATCTTGGCCACGTTTGCGCGCTTGCGTTCGCCGGCTGGTTCGAGCCAGCTGGAAAAGAGGCTGCGGGCACCGCTCGGGTAGTGCTTCAAGACCAGATGGCTGATTGGCAAACGAACTGCCTCTAGGAAGTCGAGCACGAGGTTGTGAAGCTCGAGAGGCGCGTTTGTGACGTAGTGCAAGCCGACACCGAGATCGGTCATGGCGTGGTACCAAGACGAGATGCCTTTGACTTCGGCGTCTTTGTAGGGTAGCACAAAGACGTTGCGCAAGATCTGCTTTGCACCTTGAACGACGCCAGTATGCTTTACGGTGTCGTCGATGTCGGAGATGACTCTGACGCGACGCGGATGGTCTTCGTGAATGGAGCAGCGGCGCCATGGAGATTCTGGCCCGGTTGATGCGGTATCGGAGGAGTCGGCGAGGAGCGTGGCCTTGACGTCGAGGGCTTGGATCTGGTGGGGTGCTGCCTGGAGCAGGTCGGCGTAGTGACGGCAAAAGGCATTGAGCATGTGCCATGGGATGATGAGGCGATGCTCAAACTGGCCGGTAGCGTCGGCGGTGAGACGAGTTGAGGCCATAATGAGACGGTTGCCGCGAGAGTCGCGGGCGACGTCGCCATTGATTACTGGAGAGATTTCGATAAAGACGTCGTGATGCGGGAGACGGTAGACCCAATAGTCGTGCAAGCGACGAGAGAGGTTGTTGTGGAACAAGGAGACCTCGTCTGCACTGCGATTGAGCCACTGTGCCGAGCCGCCGGAGAGGACGGTGTCGGATCTGGATGGCGTGCGGATGGAGGGGACGTCTTGGTGAAGCGGCTCGTGATCGTGGCTGGGACCTTGAGCTGCCTTTTTGGCGGCGGCGTGATCGGTGGGGAAGGCGTGGAGGTTTTCCATGAGGCGTACGAGCGTCTCGTCGTCTGCATTTTCGATCAGCTTGCGTGCGATCCTTTCGGAGCTGTGCGGGTGACTGGATGAGTCGGTGTCCTGGGGCAGAGAGGCTTGACTGCTGTCCATCTCTTGTGGTTCGTCGACGAATGGCTGGGAAGGTTGAAGCACGCTGGAATCGGGGGCGAGGGACTGTATGCGAGGGAGACCTGCGAGTTGACGAGCCATCTGGTTGAAGATTCGTTGACTGCGGCTGGGAGAGTCGAGCACTTTGGAAGCAAAGCCGTGGATGGAGACGTGGAGCTCGATTTCTCCGTCCTCGAGGTCTTCGGGTGCATCGACGGTGGCCCAGCCCTGGGGATGGCGGTCGCGTGCGACCTTGCGCTGAGCCCAGCCGGGGAGGAGGACGACGTTCTGCGCACCTGCACGGAGCGACATGTCTCTGAAGCGAGGGAGCGGTGCGCTCGAGGAAAAGGAGGCTGCGGCCGAGGGCGAGCGCGAGTGCGATGTCGAAATGGCGGAGGCCAGTTGGGGCTGGAAGCGGGCACGGGCTGAGCCGGCGACGGCTTGCCAGTCACGAGAAGCGAGATAGTCTGCGCTGGATGACAGCAGATTTGCGGCTCGACTGCGGATGCGGAATCGACTCATGCTGGCACGCTCCTGAGTTGTGCGAGTTTGATGCTGATCATCTTCGTGCATGAACGAGAGATGGGCGCGGAACGAGGTGGGAGAGAAATCAGAGGGTTGATACGACGGCGTACATGGTTCGCTGGCCCAGAGACGTATGATGCAAGATGCGACGATGTTCAGGGAAAGGTCGAGGGACGCATGAGGCGGTGATGGAGGATGAATGGAATGGAACGATGAATCTTCTAAGGGGGCCGGGAAGGGTGGAGGTGGCCGTGCGCATCGCCAAGCTTGATTTGTAAGCATTACACAGCAATCAGTTGGTCTGGGGGATGATGCATGGCCGCCCCACGTTTTCTTGGGCTGCAGCTCCGAGCAGCGAACAGGTCAATCGGATCCAAGATCAGATCATCACAGCCCAGCCCAGAAGAAGCCGCTGATTCGCGAGCAAAAGTCGGAAATTGTGGGCACCTGTGAAAATTGTCGGTCAGCGCGCGGGGGGACGGCGGCGAGAAGCCAGGGTGCACCGACACAATTCACGCTATTTTGTGCCTGTTTTCCACAGTCAGGGTTAGGGCGGCGCGCCGCTCGGGGCTGTTTGAGAAGAAGTCGGATGGCCAACCCAAAATGGCCACAATTGGCTGTTGATGAGTCGATCTTCGCCACCCCCAAGTGCGACCCTTTGCACCCTTTCGCTGCATCGCTACCACCACCACCCCCCCCACCATCCTTCCCCTGCCCCTATCACATCGCCGCCAAGCCCCACCAGCTTGCTCCTATCTCGCACATCGCCATCACGTATCCATAGCCTCTCTAGTGTTCGGGTCACTGTTCTGAGTTCATAGGCACGTTTCATTCTCCAGCTTGACGTCGCCTCCGATCTAGAATATTCCCTTCACCCTCGCCATCCATCGCCGCCCTTCACCATGACCAACGGCATCGACACCCCTTCTCTTCCGCCCAAGGGCGACACCTCCTGGAAGATCACCAACAAGATCGCAAAGGCCGAAAAGGAAGGCCGCATCTGGTGGAGCTTCGAGTACTTCCCGCCCCGCACCGCACAGGGCCTCACCAACCTCTATGACCGCATCGAGCGCATGGCCGATCTCGGCCCCGAGTTCGTCGACATCACCTGGAATGCAGGTGGTCGCACCTCCGACCTCACCGCTTCGCTCGTAAAGACCGTACACACCTACATCGGCCTCGAGACGTGCATGCACCTCACCTGCACCAACATGCCTCGCGACAAGATCGACACCGCCCTCAAGGAGGCCAAGGAGTTCGGCTGCCGCAACATCCTCGCCCTCCGTGGTGACCCTCCCGCCGGACAGTCCGAGTGGGAGCCGCACGCCGCCGGCTTCACCCAGGCGCAGGAGCTCGTCGAGTACATCCGCCAGCAGTACGGCGACTACTTTGCCATCGCCGTCGCAGGCTTCCCCGAGGGCCATCCCGAGGCAGTCGACGGCCCCGAAAAGGAGCTCGAGCGTCTCAAGTCCAAGATCGACGCCGGCGCCGACTTCATCTTCACCCAGATGTTCTACGACTTTGACATCTTTGCAAAGTGGGTCAAGGACGTCCGGGCCGCCGGCATCACCTGCCCCATCATTCCCGGCGTCATGCCCATCCAGACCTACGGCGGCTTCCAGCGCGCAACCGCTCGGTTCGGCACGCTCGTGCCCCAGTACTTCCACGACGCCCTCGACCCGGTCAAGGACGACGACCAAAAGGTGCGAGAGATCGGCACCCGCCTCGTCGGCGACATGTGCAAGAAGATCGTCGGTACGGGCCTCGGCATCAGCGGCCTGCACATCTACACCATGAATCTCGAGAAGGGCTCGCGCATGCTCCTCGACTACCTCGGCCTCACGCCGTCCGTCAACCAGGTCAGCCCGCTCCCCTGGACCCCCAGTCTCACCCCCAAGAGGCGAGACGAAAAGATCCGCCCCATCTTCTGGGCCAACCGCGCAAAGAGCTACGTCAACCGCACAGAGACCTGGGACGAGTTCCCCAACGGCCGTTGGGGCGACGCGCGCTCCCCCGCCTACGGTGACGTCGACGCGTACGGTGTCAAGCTGCGCTACTCGAACGACGAGGCCAAGGAGATGTGGGGCACGCCCCAGTCGCTCGACGACGTCAAGGCGCTCTTCCAGCGATTCTGCGCCGGCCAGATCAAGGCGCTCCCCTGGTCCGAGACGCCCGTCGCACGCGAGACGTCGGTGATCAGCGAAAAGCTCACCAGGATGAACCAGCTCGGCTTCCTCACCATCAACTCGCAGCCTGCCGTCGACGGCGCTCGCAGCGACGACAAGGTGCACGGCTGGGGCCCCAAGAACGGCTACGTCTACCAGAAGGCGTACCTCGAGTTCTTTGTGTCGCCCGAGGATCTGGATGCGCTCATCGCTCGCATCGAGGCCGACGTGCAGATCACCTACCACGCCGTCAACGCGCAGGGCGACATGCGCACCAACACCAACTCGGAAGCGCCCAACGCCGTCACCTGGGGCGTCTTCCCGCACTGCGAGATCATCCAGCCCACGATTGTCGAGTCGATCTCGTTCCTGGCGTGGAAGGACGAGGCGTACGAGATCGGACGCAATTGGGCCAAGGTGTACGAGCCGTCGTCGCCCTCGCGCAAGTTCCTCGAGACCATGTTTGACAACTACTTCCTCGTGAACGTGGTGCACAACGACTTCAAGGCGGCCGACGCCATCTTTGAGCCGTTCCTCAGCGCGGCCAAGGGCGCCGAGGCCAACGGCGCGCTCTCGGGCCTGGGTGCGAGCGTGAGCGACGCCGCTGACAAGGTCTCCAAGGCCATCTCTTCGCTCGCCAACGGCGGCGCTGCCAACGGACACGCAGCTCCGCAGACTCCCGCACCGGCTACTTGAAGCGGCAGTGCACCTGACATGGATCCACTCTAGCGAGCCTCAGCCTCTCTGATGCTCGCTCGGGCCGAGGGCTGCATCAACTGCGGCGCCTCGGTGGCATCCAAGCAACATGGCTTGATGCTCGATCCATCACTTTCACTTTTTTTGCATTCATCCACCTCGTCGTATTTCGGACAATCCAACCAAACAACCACTCCTCGGGGCTTCTCAACGCAACGTCACGCATTCTGTCTTTTTTGCTTTCAACAACGCATCGTACTTTTTCTCCGTATACCTCTTTCGTCCATTCGGTCTCGTTCCCGCATCTTGTTTCCATCATACACATGATACATCTCGGCACTCTTTCTCTCTCTCTGCTTGTACGACTAGTTCAACCTTGTCTCTCGTCTAATGCTGTTCAACACCCGCAATCTTCATACATTCAGAGAACTCCATTCGGCGCGTGTGTGTGGCTGCGCATCATCGGGTGTTTCGAAATTGAGCGCAGTTGCGCAGGCGGCGAGTGCGATGCGATCAGATCACGCTCCACTCGTCGAATTTCCGGTGGCGAGGCAGCGGCGGCCGGCTGCTGCTCCACACAAATCCAGGCCAGCGGAGCGAGTGTGCATTTCACGGGTCTCGGGGCTCGCGCGCTCGCGAAATGCCCAATGCATGGATCAGGGCTCAGTTGCGCGTCGACTCCATCGTGCCCTTTCTCCCTCTCCTCCTCATCACCACACGCCTCGACGGCATCACATCCCTTTTCGCACGCTCGAGACGGACCGCAACGCACCCAGCTTGCAATCTTATACCACCACCATGGTCAGCCTCACCACCTCGGACAACGAGCAGTTCACCGTCGACCGCGATGTCGCCGAGCGATCCGTGCTCATCAAGCAGATGCTCGAAGGTGAGACAAAGCCTAAGCAGGCTCGATGACGACCACTTTGCCAGCTACAACATGACTGACCGCCTGCTCTGGTGCGCTCGAACCTCCCGCCCACAGACATCGGAGACACCGAACAGCCAATTCCCCTTCCCAACGTGTCTTCCAACGTCCTGAAGAAGGTAGGTCTCCGCGGCATCCAGACGGTCATTTGAGGTAGATCGACGTGCAGAAGCTGATGCCACCCCTTTCGCTGTTCTGCCGCCACGACACAGGTCCTCGAGTACTGCTCGCACCACCGCAGCGACCCTCCCGCACCCGCAGATGACGCCGAGGAGTCTCGCAGACGCACAACCGACATCTCGGACTGGGACGCCAAGTTCATCCAGGTCGACCAGGAGATGCTCTTCGAGATCATCTTGGCGGCCAACTACCTCGACATCAAGCCGCTTCTCGACGTCGGCTGCAAGACAGTGTACGTGTGGCCCTTCCATCAATTCTATCAGACAGGGCGTGCAGGTCCTTACTGACTCCCAGCTCCTTCTTTGCAGTGCCAACATGATCAAGGGAAAGACACCCGAGGAGATCCGAAAGCTCTTCAACATCCAGAACGACTTTTCGCCCGAGGAAGAGGCACAGATCCGAAAGGAAAACGTGAGTATCCGACGCAAATTTCCTTTCAAGCGCAGTTGCCAAGCCGAGCACGCCACTGACTTTTATCACCCATGTCGCTCCTTGCTCTCCGTTCCCGACCAACAGGAATGGGCGGAGGACCGCTGATCGAGCCTCGCGCACCTGCTGCAAACCGCAAGTTGGACGTGTCGTATTTTCCACATGTCGTTCACTGCGCCGATTTCGAGAATGCCATGATTCCCCGTGCCTCTTCTCTTCCTGCGCTGCTCGCTGTGTGTGGATCAACACCTCGTGTGACTGAGATTGTGTGGATTGCGTGTGGTCTTCGCACTGCTGGGTCGAGGCGCAGTCAGGCTCGACTGAGAGGCCCGAAACTTCATTTGAGACTGGCCGAAATCCCCGTGTGTGTCACAAAGCTAATCGTGTCGCGACGCATAGCTTCTTGCGCTGCGCATTTGTTGTTGTGTGCCTCTGGCTTGATCGTCGCTGGCCGTCGGACGACGGAGTGAGTAGATGTTGACACCTCTCTCACGACGCCACGGATTCAAGATCGTCGTAGGCACTCCTTCACTGTGATCGTTACCAGCCGTTGGGCATTCTCCTCAAACGAGTCTCCGAACGAACAAACGTCCGAACAAAGCTATCGAGCTTGAAGCTAGTGTGGTCACCGTCAGCTGCAGAGCTGTCCTCTTGCAGACCGTCTCCCTCTCCCGCTAACTTCCGCAGGGCTGTAAGAGATTACAAAATGGGCACACTCTTCAGTCGTCGTGCTTGTGCACCCGCTCCTTCTCCTTCGACTCATCTTGAGCTGGCACGACATCAACCTATACACGCAAGATGGAAGCTTTCGAGAGTCCCGACACCAAGCCGAAGCGGCTTCGCGCAGCGAAAGCGTGCGATATATGTCGTAAGTATCGCCTCCTGCCTTCTGCACTGGACGCAGCTGATCGTTTTTATGGGTGGGTGTTGTATAGGGACGAACCATCGCAAGTGTCCTGGTCCTGCACCTGGTTCGGATTCGTGCGTGCGATGCCTCAAGCAGAACAAGCAGTGTACATGGAACACGTACAGCAAGGCCTCTCTTCGGCGCTCCGAGTCCGCATCTCCCACGATCAAGCGTACACCCGTGCGAAGAGCACTGTCCACACCATCGCAGCAGCTTACTCCGGTGCCACTCACGCCCACTCGCGCCAGGAGATCGTCCACATCGAGTTCATCTTCCAGCGAACTATCGACGCCCACCGACTCGCCTGCAGTGCCCTCGTACAAGCAACCGTTGGAAGTGACAGCATTTGGCCCATTGACCGAGAAGCCTTCGGCCGAGGAGATTCCGAGCTACTATGCCGACGCTTTGGCACTAGCCAACCGCCATGAGCTGCTCATCTTTGCCATGCCGCTGCGCGAGTGGGATGCGTCGGTGCGGGCCCAAAGTCGCCTGCACTGCGTGACGCCAAGCTGGGTCGACCCGCAACCGACACGGCAGGAATCACTCGACGTGCTACGTGCGTTGCTCGACGACGTCGAACCAGCCACCGAAGAGCCCACGCCACCTCAACCCTCTTTCCCGGAACAAGCTGAAAGTCAGCAGGCAGAGGAGGTACCGATGTCGCTCGACCCAGCCCCATTCGGTGAAGGTATCGCTGCTGAGTTGGCGGGTCCATCAATCGGGGCAGAGCTTGAGCCTGATTTCTACATGAACCCGCCAACGGGGAACAAGTCGCCCTACCGACAGCACTGCACCCACGATCCCTTCCTCTTTTCCTGCGCGCCATCGGCAGACATGCACACTGGTGTCGAGACCAGGTGGAGTGCGTCATGGGACGACGCCATGCCCGAAGTTCTGCGCGACGCATCCCAAATGGACACACTGGACGCATACCTCACGCCCCCGTGACACGCAGCTGGCCACGCCCCCGTATCACGACATCTACTCCGCACCTATAATGAAAAGCCGAGGGCTATACGAATCGAAATCTGTAATCGTTCTGATGGAATTGTGCATTGCATGCGGGACGTGTGGAAAGGGTGCGACTGTTGTCTAGTCGTCGTCCTCTTCCATGGCTGCTGCGGCGTCGGTGGAGGGAGCGGAACGGCGGGAGCGGGCGCGTCTTGCGCCTGCGTCGACATCGAGATCCTCGCCGGCATCCTCGGCCTCTGCACGCAACGCCGCGAGCTCCTCATCGCCATCGACGGTGCCATCTTCGTCATCGTCCTCGTCGTCGTCGTCATCGTCATCCTCGGCGCCGTCCGACCTTTCGACGTCATTGTCACTGGCAGCGCCATCGGCATCCGCATCTGCATCACCGTTCGCATCGGCACGGGGCTCGTCGCGCTCGGCCTCTTGGCCTGCTGCATCGGCATCAGCGGTATCTTGGTCGGCCTGCTCGACGGTCTCGTCGATTTCGTCGTCGCTGGGCTCGTACGGGTCGAGGTGGCCGAGGTCGTCGACGTTGCTGCGCGCGTGGAGGCGACGCAATTTCTCGCGGTCGGTGAGCTCGCGGTTGGCGAGCAGGATGGCGTCCCACTTGCCCGGGTAGCGACGGTCGCGGTTGCGCAGCTTCTCGTTGTTGGCGAAGCGCGAGCGCCACACGCGTAGAGTGAAGCGCATGCCCACCTTGTGGTAGTAGGCGCGTGCCTTGGGTGGGGCGGTGGAGGTGAGGCCGTCGCCGTCGGGCTGCTCGCTGCGCTCCTTGCCCTTGGTGGCTGCGGATCGCCTGGAACGCTTTTGGCGCTCGAATTCGGATTGGGGCGGGAGGGTGGAGTCGATGTGGTCGGCTGCGTTGTCGCCCTTGGGACTGGTCTCTTCGTCGTCGTCGTCGCCGAAGAGATCGTCGTCTTCTTCGTCGGCAGTGTTGGCTGGGGCTGAGGCAGCGCCTTTGATGGGGTCGAAGTTGGCATCAGGGTCTGCATCAGGAACGCCGTCGTCGAGGGTGAGGACGAGCACGTCGTGCGCAGTCTCTGCGGTATCTTTGGGTACGTAGTCGCGCGCGAGCTTGTAGGCGGTGGCGTAGTCGCGTTTGAGCAGCTTGGGCGATGCTTCGTCCTCGTCTTCGCCCTGTGGAGGAATGGGGAATTTGCCGGTGCGTCTTCGCTTTCGGAGTCTGCGTGCGTTGGTCTCCTCCTTGTCCGGGTTGTCGAGTAAGGTCATGGGCTCTTCTGGGTCCTCGGGGATGTCTTCGCCTGCGGGGAGATAGTAGGAGACGCGCTGTTCGCCGTCTGCTGCAGAGACGGGGCGGAGGATGGCTACGTCGAGACGAGGGTCCGTCTGGGGAATGCCGTTGACGATGCGACCGGGCGGGTCGATGAAGCGGACGACCTGGTAGTTGGTGGCCCAGGTCTCTGGGTCCGGGAGGAAGTCGAATACCTGTACGGCCTTGACGCCCCTCTTGTGCGGATGTTTGAGGGAGGCGAGTGGCTGTTGGGCATCCTTGAAGGACTGTTCGATCTTTGCGAGTTGTGCCTCGCGGGAGATGTCGATGCGCTGAGTGACTTTTGGTTTCTGGACCTGCTGCTGAGCCTTGAGGTGGGTGCCGAGATACTCGGTCCTGCGCAGCCAGGAGACGTCGTCTGCTGCGAGTGCGGCTTTTGCGCCTGGGCCGAGGGACTGTGTGTGTCGCTGCTGGAGGGCGGCTGCGAGAGCGGCTTGTGAGGCGGGGTCGTCGGTGGCATTGAGCGAGGTGATGAGGCCGATGGCGCCGGGAGCCGAGTTGGTGGTGGCTGCGGCGGGGAGGTTGGTGGCAAAGTCCTGGAGCAGGAAAGCATCTGCGTCGTCGAGGTCTTGAGCGTTGAGGGATGCGTTTGGCGGGACGGAGACTTCGGAGAGATCGCCCTCCCAGAGGTTCTGGAAGTTGGCGAGGTCGATGGGCATACCGGCGTGGACGTCGACGATGAGGGGCACGGGCTGCTGACTTGCGAGGCGGTCAGCAAAGTGAGCGTTTGCGTATCTGGATGGCTCTGCGGGGATCTTGACGAGCTTGGGCGGGTAGGGCGGGAGGGGGATGGGGTTGGGGTACTTGACGCGGTCGATGAGCTCGCGTCTGGAGCGGGAGGTGGAGGCAGCTGAGGCAGCTGCGGCGCCAGAGCCAGCAGCAGTACCAGCACCTGGCATGTTGGCACCACCGTTAGAGTAGGACATGGTGCCGAGTCGGATGGGGTGAGTTGTGTGGCGGTTGGTGGTGGTTGGACGGAAGGCGACGTGCGCAATCAGTCCATCAACGCAACACCCTTTCGAGCCTTCGAGGCTTCCAGTCTTCTCATCCGCTTCGACGCGTCTCGGAGCCGAAATTTGGAACTGTGCGAACTAAAGGTCTAACACTGACCGGAACCGCAAAACGTGCATCCTCCCGCGAGACGCAACCGAAACGCAATCGTCGTCGCCCCCTTTTTCCCAAAAATGCTCAATAAATGCGAGCGAGAAAAGGCGTTGTAAGGCATTGTTGGCTGCTCTGTGCGCGTTTTGGGTGCGTTTGGCTGGGTTTTGGCTGCTTTGGCCGCCGTGTGGAAGCGGCGTCGGATCAAAGCTCGTCCTCCCTTCTCCACCTCATCGTCCTCATCCATCCTCGTCCATCCTCGTCCATCCCCATCATCTCGACAGGAATCGGCTCGGCAGCTGTGCGGATAGCGTCACGCCTAGCGCACACACGCACTTTGCTATCGCTCGGTGAGGCTCCTTCCTCACTGCAATGCAGTCGACACCGCATCACCGCCAACGCCAACGCCACCGTCTTCGGCGCCCTTGATCCAACTCAAAGCTCTTCTCCTCCGCTTTCCCGCATGCTCGACGATAGCCCACGTTGAGCTGCTGCCCCTACATCGCCGCCGCAAATGCCGAACAAACACTCCACCAGCTACGCAAGATCCTTTCTCGACTCGCTCCTCACCCCCAAGAATGGCACCGCTCCCACCACCCCCACCCATCCGCAGTCCTACTCGTCCAACTCCACCACCGCAACCGCCAACACCGCGTCCTCGTCCGCTTCCTCCTCCAGCGGCGTAGCTCCTCTCCTCACCGCAGCATTCAAGCCGCACAAGCCCTCCTCGCTCTCCTCCTCGGCATCCGCTTCCGCCTCCGAGGATGGCGCGGCGCCAGATCGCGACTCGTCCGGCTACGACGCCCATCTCCCCTCCCAGCTCCTCTCCCAGCCAGACAATCCACCCAACGGCTTGACCGACGACGACGACGACGCCTCCTCCGTAGCCACATCGCCCCCGCTCTCCTCCTCCTTCAAGGCGCACCAGCTCTCCATCCAGGCCCTCTCCCACCACCGCACCTTCTCCACCAGCAGCAGCAGGCGCACATCCACATCGGCCCCCACCACCGACTACGCAGCCGACATCCTCGCCATCCTCAACGACGTCCATCTCGACGAGGAAGAGCGCATCGACAAGGTCAGAGCCACGCTCGCCAACGCTCTCTACGCCATCGAGGGCCTCCCTTCCCCCTCGGCGCGCATCGACAACCTCGTCCTCGACCTCATGCATCGCCATCGCGAGGACGTCCAGCCCAGCGGCTCCCTCTTCCCCACCAACCCCAGCCAGTCGCCCGTCCGCCGCCCCGCTTCCATCCGCACCTTTTCCACCTCGCGGCCCTGGACGCCCTCGCGCCCTTCCTTCTCGCCCGCATCCTCCTTCGGCACGCCTACAGAGATCCCCGCCACACTCTCGCTCGCCTCCCAGCGCGCCACCTCTCCGCATCTCGGTTCCAGCGCACTCGCCTCGCTCGCTTCCCCCACCGCCGCCGCCGCTTGGCCTTCGTCGGCCGCCAACGCAGCTCCCACCACCAGCGCAAGCCCGCGTCCCCATCCGGGCGTCATCGGCTCCGGCTCTCCGCGTGCATCTCCCCGCCCATGGAATCGAACCCTCTCCAACCTTTCGTCCACCAGCCTCGCCTCTTCCAACGGCGCTGCCCCAACCACCACCACCCTTTCCACCCTCCCTCCAGGTGTCATCGGCGGTGCCACCAGCCGCCCAGCCTCTCCGTCGCCGTTCGGCTCGCCCAAGCTCAACATCGCCGCCATCGAGTTCAAGCCGCGCGTAGCCACTCCCACCGCCTCGTCCACCGCTGGCCCTTCCGCTACACTCACGCCAACTCCTCATCTCGTGCGCCGTCCCAGCTCCAACTCCAGCAGCACCAACCTCGCCCTCGCCAACAAGAGCCACGCTGGCGCCGGTGACGATGATGACGACGAGTTCTCGCCCTTTGGCTCCGTCAAACCCACCCAGCAGCAGCCCATCAGCTTTGCTGGCTTCACCGCCTTCGATCCCAACGCCGGCTGGACCTCGGCAAACCACGCAAGCAACGACGCATATCAGCACTGGTCCAACTCCGACGCACACACCAGTCTCGCCCCGCCACCCGATTCGAGCGAGGCCAAGCCCGACACCAGCGCGCCCCTCACTCCTTTTGACATGCTCTATTCCATCCTGGTCACCGGCACCAAAGCCGGCTCGTCCGAGTGGAGCCCAGAGCAGGTGGACGAGGCGCTCGTCATGCACAACTACGACATCGAAAAGACGCTCGCTGCCATCTGGAACAACGACGGCAAGCCGCTCGGCGACGGCTCCCAGTCGCTCCTCGCCGGTGGACCCTCGCTGCCCCGAGCACCCGTTGCGCTAGCCTCCACCGATTCACCCCGCGCTTTCGCGAATCCGCTGCCGGCCACCGCCGGTGTCAAAGCCGGCGTCAACGTCATGTCCAGAGAGGCGCTTGGTCTGGCTGCCACGCGTGGACAGCGTCCGGGCCTTTCGCGCTCGGGCTCGTCCCAGTTGACGCCGCGATACGAGGTCGCTGCCGGTGCTGGTGCGGGAGCAGGCGGAGCAGGTGCCCGAGTGTGCCGCTACTTTTTGGCCGGAGAGTGTCGACGCAGCGACTGCCGCTTCTCGCACGACCTCGACAACCGCGCCGTATGCCGCTACTGGCTCAAGGGTCATTGCGCTCACAACCCGTGCAACTTTCTGCACGACTACGACGCGCTCAACCAGCTCGCCACGGGCATCGTCTCCGGCCTCAATGTCAGCGATAGCAGCCTGCAGCGACAAGCAACGCCCGAAGCGAGCGACTTCGCTGGTGCCGCGAGTGGCAGCGATGCAAAGGAAGACTTCCCTGAGCTCGGTGCGACGGGCAAGGACGCAGGCTCCAAGAGCTCGTATGCGGCGACGCTCGGAGGCGGTGCGGATGCATCCAGGAACCGGTGGGCGGCTACGGTGCAGAAGAAGGCGCCGGCGGATGCTGCGACCCGCGCGCAAGACGATGCGCAGGGTGTGATTAGCATCCATTCCAAAGCCGGGCCCATCCGCCCACAGCCAGCAGCGGCGACGACCAAGCCCACGGGCAAGGCGTCGTCGTCGTCAGCAGCGGCGCGAGGCTCAGCTCGTATTCCGCTGCGACCGTCTGCGCTGCTTCCGACGCTTCTAACGGGCAGCAGCGCGTCCGAGACGTACCTCGCGCACCGAGGCGATGTACTGTCGTTGGCGGAGCAGAGGAACAAGCTTCTGTCGCGCGCATCCGAGGCGTATCGCAAAGGCGACGTGGCGTCGGCGAGCAAGTACAGCAAGGAGGCATCGACGCTCAACCAGCAGTACGAGAGCGAGTCGCGCACGGCGGCGCATGCGATTGTCAAGGACCGACTCGGCGAGCTGCGTTCGCGGCTCAACGATCCGAACTTGTCCGGCTCCAACTCTGCGCAGAGCACCGAGGCTGGTGCGCGCAGTTTGCGCGGCAAGGTTGTGGGCAACGGTCTCGGTGTGTGTCTAGGCGTACTGCGGCCCGGGGCATTGCAAGGCTCGATTACGGCGAGCCTGTCGATGGAAGAGCGCACAGAGTGCCTGTTAGACCTGCATGGCTTGCACGCCAAGGAGGCGGTGGAGCTGACCGAGGAGTTCCTGCTGGGTCTCGAGGCCGAGGGCATCCAGGGACTCGCGTATCTGGCCATCGGCAAGGCAAAGCACAGCAGCAAGGAGACCGACAAGCGCCGCGTCAAGGTGGGCGGCTTTGTGAGGCAGTTCTTGAGCAGCTACTCGTATCCGTTTGCCGAGAGCGACGGCGTGCTTGTGGTAGATCATCTGTCGCACTCGTAGCACACCACAAGGACAATCAAAGTAAACATTCACACACACACACACACACACACACACACACACGTATGATGATGACGAGCGAGCGAAATGTGCTTTCCACTGAATATTTGGTGCGCGATTTTACCTCTTTCATCCGGTTTTGGACCTTTCGATTTTTTTTTTTAAGGGTGGCCTCCACCTCTTCTTGACCTTTTCTGACCGCACCTTCGCAGGTTCTCTCATATCCATCACCGAATCTTCGCTCCTGGCTGGATGCGCCTGCGCCCACTCGCCCCGCATTTGCTCTCTTCTGTGCTTCAGGCTCGGTCAATCGGCACCACCTCTGCACTTGCACGCGCATCTACCGCCCAGGCCGTGTGGACGCGCAAGATGGCGCTGCGCGACCGGTATCGTGACTGGCCCAAGGAGGCGTTGCTTGCGCGCATCGCCGAGCTCGAGGAGCAGTCCACCGCCCAAATAACTGCGCACTTACGACCCAGCACGCTCGAATCCGCTCCTTCCGGCTCGTCGATAGATCCAGACGGAAGTGTGGAGGGAAAAAAGGGAAAGGGAAAGAAGGAGAAGAAGCCCAAGGAGTTCGACTTTGGCGCGGCGGGATGTCGCAAGATCGCACTGCGCTTTTCGTACGATGGCGCGGGCTACTCGGGGCTAGCTGCGCAGAACACCACTGTACCAGGCTCGGGGTCGTCGCTGCCCACGGTGGAGGCGGTGTTGTGGGACGCAATGTGCACTGCGCGCCTCGTGGATCCTGCGTTGGGCATGGACGGCGCCGGATTCAGCAGGTGCGGACGAACGGACCGTGGCGTATCGGCGGCTGGCCAAGTCGTGGCGCTTTGGGTCAGGAGCAAGAAGCTCAACCACTGGACGGCGAGGCTTGAACACCAGGCCAAGTTTTCTTCGGACCCCATTCCGCTGTCGGAAGACCACGAGGCGTTGGAGGCGAAGCGCAACGCTCGACTTGAAGCCACGGAGCTGCCCTACGTGCAGATCCTCAACCGCATCCTGCCGCCCACGATCCGCATCCATGCATGGTCGCCCGTGCGTGCCGACTTTTCGTCGCGCTTCGACTGCGTATACCGTCACTACAAGTACTTTTTCCCCGCCGGTCCACCCTCGCTCTTCCTCGCCCAATCCTCCTCYTCCTCGTCGTCTGCTGCGGAGGCGACATCGACGCGGCTGGACATCGGACGCATGCGCGATGCAGCTGCGCGGCTGGTGGGCGAACACGACTTCCGCAACCTGTGCAAGATCGATGCGTCCAAGCAGATCACCAACTACCGACGGCGCATCGACGGCGTTTCCATCGACCGTGTCTCTTCGCACTGGCCCACTACACCCACCAACATCAACAGTACGCACGAGGGGGACGAGGAGATGTACGTGCTCAATCTGCGCGGCACTGCATTCCTGTACCACCAGGTGCGCAACATCATGGCCGTCCTCTTTCTCGTCGGTGCGCGCCTGGAGCAGCCTTCGGTGGTCCAGGAGCTCATGAACACGCACGAGGGCGCCATTGCTACCGACCGTGTCAAGATGCGGCTCGCTGCCCAGGCCGCGCGTCAGGGCGATGGAGTTCAGTGGTGGCTTCCCGTCAACGCCACAGCCACCACTACTGGTGCATCCCCAACCGACGTGCCGATGTGGGTCGACCGTCCTCCCACTCACCCCGAGGATGGGCGGTTGGAAATCTACGCCACCAAGCCCAACTACGAGATGGCTTCGGACCGCCCTTTGGTGCTGTGGGAATGCGGCTTCCTTCCCACCGACGTCGAGTGGCGTGTTGGCGCATACGACGGCCCCCTCGACCAAATTTCGGGCCCTGAAGCGGATGAAGATGCGTGTGCGGCAAGTTCGGCGCTGCTGCGCGTGCACAAGACGTGGACGCAGCACGCGGTCTCCACCGAGCTCGCACGCCACTTTGTGCTCGCCTCCGCCCCGCCGCACGGTACACTGCCGAGCCGGACGAGGTTCCAACATGCCGCCTTTCCCTATCTCGACTCCAAAGTGCAAGGCGGTAGTGCGGGAGAGGGAAAGGGGGCGGTGGTTCCGTTGGGAAATGGCACGGGCAGGGGCGCGGCGAATTACGTGCCGATGCGCGAGCGCCCGCGCGAAGAGTCGTACGAGCTCAAGAACCAACGCTGGGCCGACACCACCGGTCGACGTCGTGCGGAACGCCGAGCCGAAGCCCAAGCCGAACCCGCATCTCACGACGACTGAAAATTGCAAAACGCCATTGTCACACCATCATCCTTCAAAAGTGGTTTGGGAAGCACGAACGAGTGGATGAGAAATTGCATTGCGAGGCGCGGGGAGGGGAGTCTAGAATCGGAGCTGGCCTTTCGTGCGCGGGAAGGGGACGACGTCCTTGACGCTGGCGGTGTTGGTGATCCAGGCAAGCAACCTTTCGACGCCCATTCCAAAGCCTGCATGTTCCACCGCTCCACCGAACCTCTTCAGCTCGTCCGTGTACCATCCCAACTTGTCTGCGCTTGCACCCAGCTGTTGCAGGTTGTCCGCCAGGACGTCGGAGCGGTGTTCACGCACCGATCCGCCCACGAGCTCACCCAGCTCGGGGATGAGCAGATCGAAGCACTCGACCAGGTGCGCTTCGAGCGGCGCGGCGCGCTTCATGTAGAACGCCTTGTGCGCGAGCGGGTAGTGCGTCACAAACACCGGGCCCATCTGCGCGGCCAGGTACTTTTCATGCTCGCTTGCCAGTCCCCCCTCCTCGCTCGGCTGCACCTCAAACGTCCCCCCCGGTGCACGCGAGAGGATGTCCAACGCTTCGCGGAAGGTAATCCTCTTCCACTCGTCCCGCACCACCTGCTCCAACCGCTCCCTATGCTGGGTGTCCCCCAACGCCTCCATATCCTCTGCCCCCTCCAACGCGCTGCGGATGGCAGCCTTGACCATGCCCTCGGTGACGTCGAGGATGCCGTCGAGGCCGGTAAAGTACATTTCGACTTCGGCCATCCAGAACTCGACCAGATGGCGGTTGGTCGCACTCCTCTCGGCGCGAAAGGCAGGGTTGAGCGTCCACACCCTGCCCAAGCCTAGGCCGGCGGCTTCGAGGTGCAGCTGCGAGCTGACGGTCAGGTACGCCGGTTTACCGGACCAGAACGACTGCATCGGCTGCTGAGCGCGCACATCCGCATCGGCGACCACCTGAAACACTTCGCCGGCGCCCTCGCAGTCGGAGGCGGTGAGGACGGGGCAGGCGATCTTGACAAAGTCGCGCGTGGCGAGGTAGGCTGCCATGCCGCGTTCGACACGGTCGCGCGTGCGTGCCACCGCCGCATACCGCGGCAGCCTCCCCAGCAGGTGCGGATTGCGCCGTTCGGCCAGCGACGCAGCATACGCTGCCTGCTCCACCTTGTGCGTCAGCGTCGCCAGCGGGTACGTGGGGTCGCTTCGCGCGAGCATCTCGACCGTGTGTGCATCCAGCTCCACCTCTTGCCCTGGTTTCGAACCGCGTCCGCGCTTAAGGTCGCCGACGAGACGCACCGCCGTGCCCACGGTGAGCCCCGCAGTGTCCGGATGCGATCGTACCACCGCCTGCAACGAGCGCGCGCCCGCCAACGATCCATCCGTCACCTCGAGAAACGTAATCGCCTTTTGCTTGCGCGTCGACCGCAACCACCCCTCCACCCGCACGGGCACCTTGTCCTCTCCGCTCTGCAACGACTCGTACGCACGCGCCATGACCCTCGCCAACGACTCTGGCACCTCCTCTACCTTGCGTCTTGCACTCGTACTCAACCGCCTCTCGTCTCCAAACCTGCCCACTGCCCGTTGGGGCTTGTTCTTCTTGAGACTCGATCCGAACACGTCGCGTTTGGTCCTTGGCCGCGACGGTGCTTGTGCGGTCTCCTGTTCCCACGGCTTGGGTTTGGCGTGTTTGCCCGCCTCAAGCTCGCGCCAGATGCCCTCAATGTCGTAGTTGAAGCGCGCCTGTTCGGTCATGACATGCACCATGCACCAGTCTGCATCGACGAGACACCAGTTGCCGTCGCCCTTCTTCCCTCCCGCCTTGGTCCTGCTCGTGACGCCCAACGCGGATGCATCGGCTGCCGACATGACCAGGCCCTCGTACCGCACGGGCTGAATGCCCTCCTCATCATCGGGCATCTCGTCAGCCATTTCGTCCTCTTCGATCTGGGGCGACTCGCCCTCGTCTACGAGTTCCGCCTCTTGCAGTCTGAGGATTTCGGCGAGTTCGGACTCTTCGCGCTCCGACGCCCGTTCGGCAGCACGCCTGTCTTGGCGACTGCGCGCCTCGCCGGTGATGGCCCACTTGGATCTGAGGATGCGGCGGATGCTCTCGACGCCGACGCGGAAGCGCTGCGAGAGCTCAACAACATCAAACTGGTCCGGATCCGATGCGTGCAGCAGCCGAATGCCCTCCTGTGCCTCGCGCGACAGGATCTTGGGCGGCCTCCATCCGTCCGGGAACTTCTTCTGCAGTGCGATGCGGTGCACCGCCCAGTCGGGCAGACTCTTTCCGAGCTCGTGTTCGATCCTCGACATTCCCTTTGGTCGGGGTGTGGCCGTCGACGCCGACGCTGAGGCTTGGGTTGATTGGGATGGCGGGGTGGTGGGATGGTAGCGGGGAGCCGATGGACCTGGACCGAGGAAGGCGTCTAGGTCGAGTTCAGCTTCCATTGCGGGCGGACGGAGGTGCTTAAGGAACCTGCCGATATCCAGGGCGACACGACGCACGCTGCCGGCCGCGCTGCTCTTGACCTGCACCACGACGATCCAGTCGTTGTCGCCGTACGCATCTGCACTCGGATCCCGCGACAGCGAAGCGGGGTGGATGAGCGTAACTGGGGTGAGCTGGTCCTGCTCGTCGCTCGGGCGTGCTATCAAGTTGGCCGACGGCCCGCTGACGAGATGCGCCTTGAGCGCCGCCACCGCCTTGGGTTCTTCGACCTTGGGCTGCAGCGGGATGTAGGAGAAGGCGTTGGAGGCAGCTGTGTCCACAAGCTCGGGTGTTGATTCTTCGAGCTGAGGCTCTGCTGGTGGATCTACGGTCTCGGTCTGGAGGAACCACGGGATGGCGGGGTCGGTGCCGCTGAGCTCGTCGCTCACATTGGAGGGTGTTACTGCTTCTGCATGGTCGTGTTCGTATTGCTGCTGTTCCGGTGCGGCTCGACGAGGCAGCTGTCGGGGCAAGCTGCGCGCTGCACTTGAGCTGAGCAGACGATGCGCTGCGGTGGATGGTGTTGTGGTCGTACGCGAGCGCGGCTCTAAGCTGATGACTGCGTACGAGGTGGATGGGAGGGGGTTGGCCGCAGTAGCAATCGGCGATGCCAGGCTGGTGGCTGCTCTGCGAGACCACCTCGAAGCTCGCGTGAGCATGTTTGCGGGTATTCAATTCTGGTTGACGTGTTGGTGGTGGTGGCGGAGGTGGTGCTTCTTCTTTCGAATGCTCAGTTGTGAGAGTTGCTGCTCCACTTTTTCTCGGCGAAGTGGAAGAAAAAGGGTTCAGCTTGGGGCGGCTCGAGAAAATCGAAGGACAGCGCTGACTCAGCATGACCTGAGCGTTGGAATTTGATTCCGTGCGAAATGGCGGCGGCGGCCGAGGCGACGGGCAACCATCTATCTGCTTTGGACTCTTGTCGGCGGCGGCGGGGCGAAGCTTGTCACCATCTCGTCGTTGTTGCTACCATCCGTTGATCAACACCCAGCACACATCATCATCATGCGTAAGTCTCCCCCCCCCCCCCCCCCCGTCGTACCACGTATGCCAGCGCTTGGTTTGGGATTTGCATGTGCTGATGCGGGTTTCTGTTGGAGATTGGTGTAGCCGTCAAGCAGCTCGACACGCCATACCCACTGATCGATGCGGATCCGCACTTTTCGCGCGTGGTGCGCAGTTTCCGCGGTTCGGACTACGCCGCCTGGGCGGGAGCGACTGCCGCTTTCCCGTCGGCGATCTATATGATGGAGCTGTTTGATCCGACTCGACCCAAGCGCGGGCTGGGCAGTGCGCTGCGTCTGTCGTCGTTCCTGGGGCTGTGCGGTGGCTTCCTGTTTGCCTACCAGCGCTCCTCGTTCCGCTTCTGGGGCTGGCGCGAGAACGAGATCGAGCAGCAGGCCAACAAGGCTGCGCTCGACGCGGGGATCAAGCCTCCCGGTACCGATCCGAGCAAGAGCGACCTCAGCGAGTACATGCAGGGCGTCGCCCACAGGAACTCGGCCTTCTCCCAGTTGAAATTCAGTAAGCACGAACCCCCCGACCCCAATTCTCTGATCCACCAACGCTCAGTTTTGCTGACTAGATGTGCGCTTTGACAGGCACGCTGCCTTGGTTCAACCTGGTCGACCACCCATACCACGGAACGCAGCAGGAATCGTCGTCGTCGTCGTAGAATGCCTCGCTGCAAGTGGGGCATTGCACTCTGCGCTTTCCCTGTGCCCAATTTCTTTCGAATCGACTCGTCCAAAACTCACTGTGCCAACACGAGCATGCTTTCCACGAGCCGCAGCGCGTTCTCAGACAACGAGGAGGCGGAAGAGAAAGAGAGAGAGAGAGAGAGAGAGAGAGAGAGAGAGCAAGAGAGAGAGAGAGAGAGAGAGAGAGAGAGAGAGGGAGGCTAACGTGCAATTGACAGAGAGTGAGAGACAAGATAAAAGTACAGAGCGGGCGGCAATACGCCCAAGCAACCACTTGAACACCGCGGTGGCTTGGGGGGACTAGAGCTGGTTCTTCTGGGCGGGCAGTTCGGCCAGCGCCTGTTTGAGATCCTTGTTATCCGGATCGAACTGGAGTCCCAACTCGAAGGCCTCCCTTGCCTCCTTCCACCTCTGCAACCCGACGAGCGCCTTTCCCTTTCTGTAATGACCCTTTGCCCACGGTTTCTTGAGCTTGGTCACTGCCTCTGCATCGCACAGCGCGCCGATCCAATCCTCGCAGCTCGCAAACGCCGCGGACCTGTTGGCCAGACACAGGCTCAGCTCGTCTCTCGCCACCTGGTTCGCCTCCCACAGCGGCCTGCTTGCCGCGACGTCGATGGCGAGCGTGTACATCTTGACCGCCTCGGCCCAGTCCTTGTTTCGATACGCCGTGTTGCCCTGCTCCTTGGCCTGATTGATCGCCATGGATCGCTGCGGCGCAATGGCGTTGGGCGGGGGTGGAAAGGCCACGTTGGGTGGAAGACCTTTGATCGAGCGAATGAGCGCATTGAGCACCGTCAGATCCAGATCCGGCACGGGCGTATGCAGCGTGCTCGTCTCGGCATCCAGCGCGAGCGGAACGTGCTGGAAGCCGGCATCGGTGATGGCAAGCTGCTCGGCGGTAGGTGCAGGTGGGCCCTGCTGTGGTCCTGCGTTCATCCTTGCCAGCAAACAAACCGCAATCGATCGTGCAAGTTGATGTGCAAGTGCAAGATGGAGCGTGAGGGGTGGGGGGGTGAAGTGCAACCGGTCGGAGCGTGGAATGCGCCGTCCACCCCCGCTTGGCATCTGGCAGCTCCACCTCATCACCCTTTCCCGCCTCTTTCCAGCGCCAACCAGCGCCAACCAGCGCCAGAAAGGCTGAGCTGGCCGATTTCTTCTTGAAAATTCGCAACTTTGTTAGATCGTTCAGCAAACCGACTCGCACGGTTCAGCGCCGCCGTCGCTGTCCGCGCTGCATTCCCACTCCACACTCGGTCCAGGGTCCTGCTCATCCTCATCCCCTTTGTTGCGCTTCACCCGCTCTACCTCGCGCTGCTTCGCTCCTCGCCACACCTTCGCACCCGACAGACACAGTGGACGACGCTCGTAACACCTCCTTCACTACTCTCGCTATCGTTGTCGCCACCGCTACTTGGGCTGGGTTTCGGCGATGATCCGCTTCATCCTCGTGCAGAACCGGCAGGGCAAGACGCGGCTGAGCAAGTTCTACGTTCCGTACGACGACGACGAAAAGATCCGTCTGCGCGGCGAGGTGCATCGCCTCATTGCACCACGCGATCAAAAGTACCAGTCCAACTTTGTCGAGGTAGGCTCCCGTTCCCCCTTCTTGACCCTCCTCCAACTCTTGGCTGACATTGGTTTGTTTTGTGGGGGGGTTGAAAGTTCCGCAACTACAAGCTGGTGTATCGTCGGTATGCGGGGCTCTTCTTCTGCGTATGCGTGGATGCAAACGACAACGAGCTGGCTTATCTCGAAGCCATCCACCTCTTTGTCGAGGTCCTAGGTACGTCCACTCCCCCCCTTCCTTCCCCTTTCCCAACTTCAAACCTCAACTCACACCGACTTTGACTGGGGCAGATGCGTTCTTCGGGAACGTGTGCGAGCTCGACCTGGTCTTCAACTTTTACAAGGTATACGCTATCCTCGACGAGGTCTTTCTCGCCGGCGAGATCGAAGAGACTAGCAAACACGTCGTGCTCGCGCGACTAGACCAACGTAAGCC